AGTGTGGCCTTGTGTTGATCAAATTCTGTTGAACAATTTGACTATGCATCAGAATTCATTGATGTCGTTTTTTATGTTAGTTCCAGATTGTTAGTTAATCAGGTAAATCGAATATAAAGATCTGCATTCATTTGTCATACTGGTTATCAGCAATCAGTGATCATAGGAAGTCAGATAGTTAGATTAGTTTGTTTAATACTGTTTGATAAGTGTATCTTTTGATTTGTGTAAGATCATGTTAAGCTGACTCAAAAACTTTTCTTTAATTCCCGTGTATTCAGCTTGGTGTCAAACTTCCTTTTTCTGCTTTGGATTCGCCAATACGTGCCAAACCACCCTCGTCTGTACGTGTTCCTCCACCGCCTTCAATAAATCAATATCATCATCAATATCATCACCGTCAATATCATCATCCTCTTGACTATCATCATCATCAGCAGCAGCAGCAACAACAACATTACACATCAACATCCACGTCAGTGCCACACAAACAAATCAATATTAAACAGGATAGTAGTTGTTCTTCACCATCTTTATTATCCATTCAAGAATCAATCATTACACCGAATCAATATTCAAACTTTAAATGCACAAATATTCCACAATTTAATAATGTACAAAATGCATATAAGAGTTTCAATAATGATAACTTTTATACTACTAATACTACTACTACGACTACTACCACTAATCATCACATAAATACTACTAATAATGACAAATGTTCATCATTAGAAAAATTAATTGTTTCATCATCACATAAAACAATAGAATCAACATTCGACACAATATCACCGAATGAATCAATGAAAAAATCAACTGGTACACCAAAAGTATCCTATTCCACAATGACTTCAATTAGTCATCCTTCAACGGAACATGTCATAGTAAATGAGATGTCAAATAAACAGTTAAAACCAAGAGTTGCTTTTATTGAACCAATTAACAAACAGATTAGTACTACTATTACTACTAATACTACTAATACTACTACTACTACTAATAGTAATGATAATAATGATGGTAAGAAAGTTGATTTACTTAGCATTCAAAATAAACAATCTGCCCATGAAAATGACAATAAAATCAAATTTATCAAAAATGAAACAAAACATGAAAATAAACTAAAGTTAAGTTTGTCTGATCGATTTCCTGGTTGGGGTGTCATCACAGATGATGATGAGGATGAGGATGATGATGAGAATTACAATTTGGATGCGGAAATAGGGGAGAAACATGATCAATCGAAAAGTTTAGAGAATTCAAAACAGTCATCATTACAAAAAGTAAGTGTGTTATTTCAGTCGGTCTATTTTTTTTCATTTGGCCAACGATATTGAAGTGTTGAATGAAGAGGTTATAAGTCTCATGAAGAAAGTTATCAGTAAGATGTCAGTCAGTCAGATGCAACGTAGAACTTCGTATGTAAGTATATCAGTTCATGTTGCCATACCACAACATCAGCACACAGAGATGTAAATTGTCAATTCAAATCCAATAGTAGTAGATGTAGAAAAGGTATTAGAAGTAATCGAAGAGGTTAGGATTAGAAGATACTATTCAGGAAATATGATTCAGTGAGAAAAGTTTAGAAAGACAAAACTAGAGGTGTTGTAGAATCCAGAATATTAGGATTTGAGAGAACACAAAGAATAAATGCACCGGCGCCATTGCGAATTATTTTGAGCCATGTCATTCAAGGTCTCTAACCATCGATTATTATCATCTCGCGGACCCCAACCAAGGTAGTCGATAATTACCGACATGGCTCAGTCCACTTGTCAATGACTTCATGGATTTGTGCCATGTTTTGGTTTTGCCGACCCTAACTTTCTTCCAACCTACTCCTACACTACAAAACAAAGCTCTTCGAGGCAGTCGGTGGTTAGGCATACGCAGCACATGTTCCAACCACCTCAACTGATGAAGTTTCATTACTTCATCTATTGATCTGCCATTCTTACCTAGCACCCGATTCCTAATAACAGCGTTGCTCACTCGGGTGTCCCACGATATATGAGCAATGCAATACGATATGTAATGAAAATGCTTTAAAATAAGATTGAATATATATTTTAGATAGCGACGAGTTATGATATTTTCCGATACAAGTCTCATTATCATATCAGCCCAGTGAGATTTAAATCAAGATGTTATCACATCGAATCTAGGTGTTGTTCATAGATGAATCAAGTTCAACTCTTGGTATAGATAGCAAAAATACAAGCTCACATATGATCAAACATCACCTTAGATCGTGAATATCAACTTTCAGGTATTCTCAAGTAATTTTCTCAAATCAATGTTACTCTTTTAGGGATGTTAGATCCACAAAATTCGCTTAATAAATGCCTTATTTTGGTTTTCACGTTTGCCAGAACGGGCTGATCAGCTGACCTTGAGATTTCAATTCCCACCAGGAAAATCCATCCATGGCTGTGTGATTGGTTGCTGTGTATTTGAGTGTGCTATTTTCTTAACTGTCTATGTTGTATAAATAAACGAGAGTTGTAAGCTTGATTGCACTAAGATTGCTGGGTTTTTGTAGAATATACTTTCTACGCTTACAAAGTCTTTTTTTACTCGCTTTGAGGATTTAAGGTAGCCTACATGGACGCGGGTAAAAGTTTCGTTCGCGTTTATCGACTAAGTGACCAACTTATAATACTTATTTAAGATGGAAATAATTCAGATGATAATTAGTTATTGACAAATCAATTTACTCAAGAAATCGTTGATTATGTTATGTTCTGAATTGTCAAACAGACACTTTTACTCATATTGATTTGTTTTTTGTTTTCAATGAACATTTCAGAATATTGAATATGATCGATCAGCTGCTAACAAGGAATATTATATTCATGAAAATATTCCCAACAACAAATCTAATGTAAATAATGAGATAAATAATAAAGCGAGTAATACAAATCATGATCAGTCAATCAGCGAACAACCTCCCAATACTCGATTATCACAATCAAATTTAATGGATTGTGAAGAACCAATTTTTCAAGTACGACATCAACAACCACAATATTGGCTACCGATTCAACCATTGAAATCAATTGAAAAACAACGAAGTTCTTCCATTCTAACTAATCCACGTAAATCACTTGCAATGATTTTTTCACAAATTAGTAATAATTTAGGCTTTACACCATCAACAACAACGACAACAGCACAAGAACCAACATCATTTGATTATTTTTCAAATGATGAATATTATTCACCGTCTAATTATTATCAACGAAAAAATACAAAATTTTTATCATCAGATCAACCATTTAAACAAATCCCTTCTAAACTTAGTACAAATAATTATAACGGTAATTCTAATACAGAAATTCATACAAAATCTGCCCGAGCAAATTTTTTGCATCATAAAGGCCTAAGTTTTGATAATAATAATCATCATAATAGTAATAGTGGTAGTAATAGTAATAGTAATAAGATCGGCGGTATACGAAGTAGTATTTCAAGTCAACGTTTAATGGAACATAGTTTTTTTAGTACACTATTAAGTGGCAGTCAAAATCAGCATAGAACTGGTGGTTCAATGGATACATTGTCCAATATGCATCAGAACAAGTTGACCAATCTAAATAGTAATAATAATACTACAACTACTACTACTAATAATAATAGTAGTAATACAATTCTACAACCATCATCACAACTGACACCGACAACAACACCGACAACAACAAATCCAGTTGATCGATCAATTCTAGTAGATTTACTGTGTTGTACATGTTGTACCAATTCAGATGATGAAGCATATACAAATCTGATTGAAAATCATCGTTTAGCTCGTTTTGTTACAATGGGTGCTATATTGACTATATTGGGTTTAATATTTGCTTATATAATACGTTCTGCAACGGAAACTCAAACTATGCCTAATACTACTACTGCAACAACACCGACAACACCTACAACACCAACACCCACAACAACAACCTTAACACACACTACAACAATTGTCAATTTAACTAATATTGCTTCAATTTCTGTTACTTCTCCTTCAACGACTCATTCTACATTGAATTTGATCATGAATTCAACGTTCAATAATCAACAATTCATTGAACAATTAGAAAATTTGTCAAATGTTTACAATTCAACTTATAATAATGATAATCAGTTAGATTCAGTTGACATTTTAAATAATGATGTGAATAGTAGTAGAGCGATAAGCATTGATCATCATCATCATAATAGTAATAATAATGATAGAACAACTAATTATCATCAATCAATATTCAATGTCACTTTACTTTGATAACAAAAACTTCCATGATTCATCCATCAGCATTTCTATCTATTTACACATATTATTCAGTGAATATAACACAAACAACTAGTATAGTCAATTGTGTATACAATAATTTTATGATCATCAATTGCAATCAATTATATATATTTATGTACACAAATAGTTTATTTAGCATTTTTATTTTTTAGATAATACTACTTCTGTTAATACTGATAGTAGTAGTATATGCATATATACATATATATATATATATATATATATATATATATATATATATACAACGCATAATAAGATTCACATTTTTGTGTATTCATGTAATGATCGTAAAGAGTACCAACATCCTCTTAACAATGATTACCTTATGTAAATCAGATACATAATACATATTCTACATCTTTTATTCTGTTTTATTTTTATTTTTATTTTAAAAAAAGAAAATTCTTTATTGAATGAAGTGTTTTTTCATGTTGTTCTTATTGTTCACGGAAGGGAATTACGCGTATTGATTATTTGAGTGAAAGACATCACTCCTCCGAATCCTATTCCTAAAAAGACCATTAGGCTAGATAAGAATAGGATAAAAAGATGTCCCAAGGCTTATTCGACATAGTCTGTCGTACAGAAACCTCATAAGGATGACTGTTTCGCCTGCTTAGTGCCAGTCAAAATAAGTGACTCTACTTTTGAATGCGATCTCTGTAGTACATGGGTCCATTGTCACTGAGACAGTACAGTACGTAGAGTACTATGGGTTCATGTTGAGTCAACCCTGCTGGTGGTTCTGGTATACCTGCCAACAGTGAAGAATATCTAAGGCATTGGCGAAGCCACAGGCCCCACCCCGAATCAACTCAGAAGTCCCAGTGAACAAACCTAAATTACCTGGCACTAAACCAGTGAAACAGGCAACCAAGTCAGCCAAAACCCTAACAGACAAAACTAGCGGTTATTGTTAATCTCACAGTATCCGTTAACAATACGGAACTGTGGGTGAATGTGAAGAAGGGGAATGGAAAAACCACAACTCACAAGTGGCTACAACTAGAGGACAGTGACGGTAGATTAAGTTCAATGTCGCAAGCAAAAGCCCCTCCATTGCGGCTAACTATAGACTTGGCACAACTCACCGAAGACATCCTCCTCTCATCCCAAAGAGGATTGGCCAAATTATACTCCCCGATTCGCATCAGGCACGATAAACCGTGGTTGTTAAGTGCGGCAGACAGGACATCACCAGGCATGCAAGAGCAGACCACGATGGTAGTTCACGGAGTACCCGAACTCTCTGGCTGTTGCCTGGACGAGGCTCACCTGCACGATGTACAACAGTGGCATGGGCTGTCACGTAGCCTAGAACTTCAGTCCGCGATGGCTCTTCGCATTTCCAGGCTTTCCCGCCCGTCACATCGCATCTCACCACGTCTGATAGCCGTGACATTCGGAGATCGGGAAGACCTGACTGAGCACTCCAAGCTTGGTACAGTTCGAAGAACGACCTGTCTGGCTACATTTGGCGTGGCGAAAGCCGGCCCATATCTGTGAGACATCAGAAGAGGGGGACTCGACGGGTGCACAAAAGTGATAGTTGACCTCAATCAACAACCCTCAACACAAGAGACAAAGACAATAACCTCAATGAGTGAACTTACATAACAGGCAAAAATCCTACAGAGGCCAGTTCTCACAGAAATACCCAAATCTGTTTGAACAATTTTTTTGAAAATCCGACGACGGCTGTTGCTGAAGAGGTGCACCAAATGACAAAACAAACCACCAAGTGCCTCGACAGCAACCTAGGCGGACTAAGGAGGAGAATGTTAGAGATCAGGAATATGAGCTCTCAGATGGATCTAAATGTCATAATCCTAACTGAAACATGGCTATCCCCTGAAGTTATCGACGACGAAATGAGTTTGTATGGCATGACACTTTCCCGAAGCAATAGGGTACGCCAAACAGGAGGCCGAGTGGCTATATACATAAACAGACACTTAAAAGCTGAGCGGCTATACTACACCCAACTAACTGATGCGACAGAATCATGTTGGTTTTGTTTCAACACAAATGGCAAGAAATACTCGATTGGAGGGATTTACCCATCTCCCTCACAAAGACAAACTGACTGAGGTAATACCGAAGCTGCCACTCCTGAAGTTTTATCAAATACTCTTAGTTGGAGATTTCAATACCCTATCTCTAAATCTCAGAAATTTGGGATCAACTCCCACTGGATGGTTCCCAAGACAACTGGCGCAGCCATTAGAAGCTCTGCGCTTACTGAGCACGTATGCAGTGCCTCTAGATGGACTAAAGAAGGAAAGTCCTCAAAACCGGATTATTTGTTAACAAATGATCAGGTCCTGGTCCAGGATGTCCAAGTCCATACACCAATAGAAAGTAGTGACCATGACACAGGACTAAATGAGCACTATCTTTGCTACACTAGGGCAAATTATACACGAATGAGAGAGATCCTCCAACGTGCGTCATGGCCACTGGAGTGGTGAAGGCTGACAGTAGATGGTCACTGGCAAATAGTGAGAGACATCACACAAGATGATGTCCTTACCAATGTACCTCAGTCACACCACACTCCCGGAAATAGAACATGGGTTAGGCGCGGCACTGAAAGCTCGCTACATGCGATGAGGAGAGCCGGGCACAAGCGGAAGGTCTCTTTTTACTTGCCATTGAGAAACAGATGCAATACAAAATTTCGAAGTGACAGGAGGCGATTCCAGTTGAAGCTAGCTGCCAGAATACTGGCAAAAACGAAGCATCTGTTTAGTTTCATGACGAAAAGAAAATCTACGAATCAGGTGTTTTGTTCTCTCGGAGGACCGAATAGGGAAGACCTCGCCCAAGGCGAATGCGACTCTTCACTTTATGAGAAGACAACTCGGTGCCACCAACAAACAATCATTATTAACGTCAAGACATACGCGCGCCCACACCTGGAGGTTCACTACGTCAACTCATCCGTTCTGCCTAAAAGAGACAAAAATCTCTTGGGTTGAGTGCAGAGACGTGCAACCAAATGGGTGATGGGGTTGAGAAATAAGCCTTACGAAGATGGACTCTAACGCTTGAGACTATCCCCACTGAGTTACAGGAGGGTCAGAGGTGATCTGATTACGGCGTATAACATATTAAGCACGCCAAACCATCCCAATGTGAGCATCTTACCGATGCATCACCACCACTCCCCTCGAGGGAATCCTGGAGAAGTTGTGCATCAGAGAGCGAATACTCAGGTTCGTGCACACTTTTTCTCAATGAGATTTGTTGAAAGTTGGAATGCTCCCCCAGCTGAGGTGACCACAGCCCCCCGGTGGACAGCTTTAAGAAGAGACTTGATAATCATATACTCACATACGGACTATCATCTCCCTCTTGAAACGGCTATGCTTGATGCATGTCTTGAGACCTGATAGTTGTTATCATTGTCATCTGCTGAGATCGCTGATTTAATCTATCTCACCTATTATCTCTGTTTTCTCAGCATTGCTTACACTTCGCTCCTCTCTCACAATCTTCACTACCAATTAATAAACTAAATTATCTATATGTTACTCATTTCTGAAATCCTCTTCTTATTAGCATCAGAATTTTCTCCTCACTATTCTCCGCATCGCAACTAACTGACCTTCTCTATGTTAATGTGATAGCTGCTGGTATCCAGAAACCCTAATGCCCTGAAACAAATGTTTCCATACAAACTCACAACCAACTACTAACTGACTTGAATTAGACAGTCGCGTGGCTAGACCGCCACTCATCGAACACTACCAAACACCTGGAACCGTACAGACAAACAAGAATCGAGCGCACAGAAATCGATTGTTTTACACTAGCATGTGTAAAAGATATTGGATATTGAAATTGACTGTCCTCTTTAAAGATGAAGGTTGCTTGGTGTTTCAGAACATTTCTTCCTTGTCATGCAGCGGGACTCTGCACTCAGAGTCATTTGCGGTTGCTAAGAAAATCAATTAATCGATGTCATATCTTGTCAGTACCAACAAACTATTGCTCTTCAACCTGTAAAGGAGATGTATTATCTTAATTTTCCCTCTTAATTATTATGATTTACAGAATCAAGACAAAATATTCACGATACCCAATCTGATCACAGCATCCAGAATCACAGTCACCCCTATAATCATTAAATCTGTTTGTTGTGGTGATTTAAATTTGGCTTTAGGTCTTACTATCTTCGCTGGATTGACAGATATGGTGAGATTTCGCTTAAATTTTTTTAACAAACTTTTAAAGTTAGATGGGTTTATAGCTCGAAATATGTCAAACCAGGCGTCCAATATTGGAAGTTTCTTGGACCCTCTGGCTGACAAACTCCTTGTGACATCTTTGACTTTGTCATTAACAGTAATGGACTTATTCCCAGGTACTAAGAAGTTTATCGGCTCAGTTTCCACTAGTCAGCCTTGGATGTCTTTTTATTCTCCGCGATCTTGGAATAGTTGCTACAATTTTATTCATAATGTCTCGTAATTTCGGTTCAGTATGTTCTAGTATACCGTCACCCTATTTTTTTTAGCTTACTCCAAAGACATTCACACAGAAAATTGAAATGAAGCCATCAAACATTAGTAAAGTATGTTCGTTTGTAATTTTCCTCACAATTAATGTCTCGCTTTAAAATTTGCTTAACCTGGCACAGTTATGCATGTAGTTTAATCCAATGTCCTGTTTAACTTTCTTAGGAAGCACATTCACGTTTCTGCTACTTCGTACAAATTATTAAATACCTTCAAATGAGATTTTCCTGTAGTTTTCTCAATAAGGCTATGAGTCAGTATCTCTGATAATACTGTCTCCCCCCTTTTCCTAGTTATAATTCATGAGAACAAAGCAACAATGATTGTGGGATCAAGTTTCGTTCACTTGACCAAAAATTACATTAAAACCTCAAATTCCCTAAAGTTATATTTCCAAAGCTTCGAAATCACTTCTCACTACTTTGCCTAAGCTTCTTCCAGTTTGTCTTAAATAAATAAATTAGCTTCGTTGATGTTTTTCTTGGCAATCTTAACTTCCGTAAAGAACTGGTGCCTAGCTTGGGTTTCGTGATAATAAACCTGGTTCATCTGGTTGATGTACTAACTTGGTTCTAAATGTATACGTCTGTAAGCATATGCATCGGTGTTTGCAAAACCGAATTAGGAATGTACATTTTAATTTAGTCGTAAATGTTAAAGTAGTATAAGTTGGTTTTGCTCTCTGCTAGCATAATGCATGGTTTTGTTGGCAAACGATAGCCGTACACAATCGAGTTCATATACCCTTAGTCAAATGAAGGGATTGGTTTTCCTATTTCATTTCTGATTATGTATGTTGCCGCCTTACATCTTAATTTTAATGAAATTCTCCACCATCTCAATGAAATTCCCCCATATAAAAGTCAGTCAGTCAGTCAGTCAGATACAACGTAGAACTTCGTACGTAAGTACATCAGTTCATGTTGCCATACCACATCAGCACAGAGATATAATTGTCAATTCAAATCCAATAGTAGAAGAGGTAGTAAAGGTATTAGAAGTAATCGGAGAGGTTAGGATGAGAAGATATTATTCAAGAAGTATGATTCAGTGAGAAAAGTTTAGAAAGTCAAAACTAGAGGTGTTGAAGAATCCAGAAGATTAGGATTTGAGAGAACACAAAGAATAAATGTACCGGCGCCATTGCAAACGATTTTGAGCCATGGCATTCAATGTCTCTAACCATCGATTATTATCATCTCGCGGACCCCAACCAAGGTAGTCGACAATTGCCGACATGGCTAAGTCCACTCGTCAATGACTTCATGGATTTGTGCCATGTTTTGGTTTGGCCGCCTCTAACTTTCTTCCAACCTCCCATATAAAAGTGATTTTTATTATTGAGTATGAATGTTTTGCTTAAGTTCTTCATCTTTTCTAGAGGTGTCAAACCATCCCATATACATTTTCCATGTCTTTTAATAAACTAGTTATTATTTATTTCAATAATTTTTTATACTTTTTCACTAGCTGAATACTCTTTGTCAATTATCAAGTATCATACTTAGCATGACATATCCTTTGTATGGATTCCCAAACTATGAATATCTTAAAGCTGTGTGGTAAGTTTTAAAACATTTTTAAAATGTTTAGATATTTCTTTCTTATGCTATACGTTCTATGAAAACTTATATAATCTAATAACCATTAAATCAGTCACAGGTTTTGTAGAAAGTAGCACATATATTCGTCAGTCCACCATAAACCGACGTCTGTGAAATTATTAAAAGTTGAGAGAAATCTTGTCAACTGTCTTATTTGGTTCAAGGATCTTTAATAATGCATACTCACGGCCTCATAAAACTAAGTTCAGTGCCCCCCCCCAAAATAAACCAACTATTGTGTTCGAATTAGACGGTCTACATTGAAATGCTCTTCAACATTCATTCAGTGTCATAGATGAAAGTTACTCTATTCTTGATTTGGTTAGGTCTACATATTGGGCCCTGCCACTAAGACTTCTGAAAATATATATCGAATCTAGTTACTAATGAGTACTCTTGTATTTCAGTAGAATACCATCAGTCATCAAACAACATAAAAATTGATACGTACGTATATCAGTTCCAGTTGCTATACTACATTAGCAGAGAGAGATGGAATTGTCAATTCAAATCCCATTGTGATAGAGGTTGCAGCAATATAAGTGGTAATTGAAAATATGATGAGAGAATTATGTCCAAGTGAAGTGAACTCAAAAAGAGAAAAAGATGAGAAATTCAGAAAATCCTAATTTTGAGAGGCGACAAACAACCGATCCATTTAGAAATGGAAAGATAGAGGTGATGAAAAATGAAGAAGACTAGAATTTCAGAGAACACACAGATTGGATTCCTCTGTGTTATTGCAAACGATTTTGAGCCATGTCGTACAACGACTCTAACCATCGGTTACTATCGCTTCGTGGATACCATCTAGGTAATCTACAAGTACCAAAATGCCTCAGTCCAACTGTCAGTGACTTCATGATTTTGTGCCATGTTTTGCTTTGATCATCCCTAGCTTTCTTCTAACCCATCTCTACACCAGGTGTCATCGCTCTCCGAGACAGTCGGCGGTTAGGTATACGTTTCGCATGTCCCAAACACCTTCACTGGGGAAGTTTCAATACTTCATCGATTGATCTGCCATACTTAGCTAGTATCCGTTTCCGAACAACAGCATTTCGTACTCGGCTGTCCCAGGATATTCGAGCAATGTTTCGAAGACATCTATAATCGAGTACTAATAGCCTACGAATATCTACTCTTACTGGGCATGTTTCGCATCTATATAGTAGGACGGTGCGAACTGCTGCGCAGTGGACTCGTCCTTTGGTTAGCAAACGGATATCTGGCCTAAACCATAAGTGACGCAAGTTGGCAAAAGTCAATTGAGCCTTCTGTATCCGTGGTGAGATTTCGTCACATAAGTGATCACCTGCACTGAGCGGTCAACACGCTCAGCTACTTCACTTCCTATCACTAGTTCAGGTGCTGATGTAAGCCAATCCTGAAGCAACATTTAGCATTTCAAGTAAAACAATCGCTTCTCGATCATGCTCGCATTGTTGCTAAGGGTGGTCAGAAGACTGCATTTCTCAGCGTCTTCACCAAATAGAACTATATCATTGGCATATTGTAAGTTAACGAGCGAGTCCCCCGGTGGAAAGTCAACCCCTGAGAAGTCAGATGATGAAAGTGTCGTCTCTAAAAGCACGTCAGTGACACAGTTAAACAAGAATGAAAAAAGTGGATAGTCCTGACGAACAACACTTGAAGTAATCAATCCCGATGAGAGTTCGCCATAAGCTCTAACTCGACCAGTGATGATCGAGTAGAGATCCTGTATAAGGTTAATGTAGTTCTTTGGTGCACCTTTCAATGACAGACACTGTTATAGAACCTCACAATCGGCAGAGTCAAATGTCGCTTTAGGGATTACAACTACTGTCGGACGTCGAAGTGTGTGTGTATGTGTTCCAGGACTTGTCGACGTGTGAATATGTGGTCTATACATCCACATCCAGGTATGAAACCTGCGTGGTTTTCTCAAGTCTGCTCTTCACGAACTCCGTTTAGGTAATATAGAAGCTAATATTTCAGATACTATATTAGTTGGACTGGTTTCTCTGTGTTTGTAACAAGAGGACTTTTGTCCTTTTTTATAGACTGGGACAATCAATGATTGAGACTAGTCAGATGAGATTACGATCAGTCCTCAAATTCCACCTAAGATCACAGTCAATCTAACTGTTAAAACCATCCTTAATAATCTGAGGGGTAGGCCTGCCAAGCCCTGCTGCCTCGCTTCAGATTCCCTATAGCATTTTTAACTCCGTTAATAGTTGGGGGGCTTACATCGATTTGCCATTCAGGTTGACCGGAGATCGTGGGTAGGCGAAGTGTGGCAGAAGGTCAGTTTAATTAATCTGTAAAGTGTTCTGCCCATCGACCCAATCTGCTGTGTTGAGAATGAATAGTAAGCCCATCCTTTCCCGAGATAGCCTCACTTACGGTCGGATTCCCAATACTGGTTACCTTGATAAGTCGGAACAATTGCCTACTATTACCAGTTGCCGTTACCTTTTCAATCGCTTTGGCTTTAGATAGCTAGCACTGTTCGCGATCATTGCGTGGGCTTTTTATCAGCTTGCGCTTAAGCTGACTTCGCTCTTCATCATGTTCAGAGCCAGGTAGGATGAGTTTGATATTCACGGCCTCTCCCCAACCTTATGATTTGCCTTAATAGCAAATGTCACTGCTGTTTCGGCGGCTTTTTGGATATCGTTCCAAGCTGCCGCAGGGTGGGCAGCACTTACATTGCTGCCTAACTGCTTTTCTTCTGAAATATATGCTTAGCTATGCTATCATTAAATAAAACACTAAGAGGTTTCCTTGCAGCGTCTTTCCTACGTCCAGTAAGCTGCAAAAAGAAACGCGCTTGCCCTAGAGTATGGTCTGAATCTTAACAAGTGCTACAGAGTGGGTGGCAGTCTTCTCCAACAATGGCTGATAGCATTTTGGTCTATCGTGGTCGGCTTTGGAGGTCGCACGATCAACAGATGTTTTTCCCTGTTGTGATTAATGTTAGCATTCGCTAGAAATAGGCAGTTATCTGAGCATAATTGCAGTCGACGATCGGCATCATCAGACCTTTGAGCCACGGCACCATAAGATCCATTCTTTGTGTTCTGTCAAATTTTAATCTTTCGAATTTCTGATGATCATCTTTTCTCTTTTTTTTTAAAATCGATTCCTTTGGATATTCTTCTCGAACAATATCTTCAATTATTAATCATTTTGATTAACGCTAATACTTCTACTACCTCTACTACTACAGGATTTGAATTGACAATACGATCTCTGTGTGCTAAAGTGGTATGGTGACTTGAACTGATATACGTAAGTACGAAGTCCTACTTTGTATCTGACTAATATTTACGTATAGCGTCTTATAAAAGACAAGTTAAATATTCCTCCGTGAATTTAAAATATGCTTACAGTTTCATAGCTTTGAAAGTGTGTAATATACTCATTCATTGAAATGAGTAAACACTGAACTACTTTTTCCGTTGGCTAAGTCAATATTACATTTCAGTGAATTATAATAATATTCAAATTGTATAATGTGCACAGTTGATTTAGAGTTACATTAAATTAGATATGTCAGTGTGAAACATTTGTCATTAATCCTATTGGATGATTGTTACGTTATACTGGAAATTGATGGACATTGATTGTACTATCAAACCTTGATCAAGTGGTTTGAATATTTAAGCCTCTGGTTGTAGGATGATGTATGAGTCCTAGTGTAGTGAAGGAGAACACAGGTGAGGGCAACCGAATTGTATTTACCGAAAATTACAGAGTTACTCAGTAAAATCGGAAAACCATATCGTAAACAGTTAATTTGCAAATCTTCAATCAATCATCAATCCATTGTCTGACATTTCACTTATTCATGCATTTCATACAAATTCCATTGTGTTCCCACTCTTCCTTTCTTATTGATCTTCCCCCATCTTCTGCTGCCAGACATTACGTTTACACTCGCGTCATATACTACTTATAAGTAGCGCGCACCACACTAGGTTCTATCCCCGATGAAGTCATGCTTACTCACTACTGACAAGTCTCATACTAGTAGGAGTAAAGACCTATCTAATGTTCCCTGACTTGCAAGGGTATTTGAACTGAGACTAAGCTCTAACGAGTGCATCCTACGAATAAGATCAATCTCCAGAAAGCCTTTTCGATTAAATTGAACTACTGAAAAAAATTTATCAACACAAATGATCGATCATATTTTTGATATATATCGTGGGACACCCGAGTGAGCAACGCTGTTATTAGGAATCGGGTGCTAGGTAAGAATGGCAGATCAATAGACGCAGTAGTGACACTTCATCAGTTGAGGTGGTTGGGACATGTGTTGCGTATGCCCAACCACCGACTGCCTCGTCGAGCTTCGTTTTATAGTGTAGGAGTAGGTTGGAAGAAAGTTAGGGGCGGCCAAACCAAAACATGGCACAAATCCATTAAGTCATTGACAAGTGGACTTAGCCATGCCGGTAATTGTCGACTACCTAGTTGGGGGCCGCGAGATGATAATAATCGATGGTGAGATACCCTGAATGACATGGCTCAAAATCGTTCGCAATGGCGCCGGTGCATTTATTCTTTGTGTTCTCTCAAATGCTAATCTTCTGGATTCTTCAACCTCTCTAGTTTTTACGTTCTAAACTTATCTCATTGAATCATACTTCTTGAATAGTATCTTCTAATCCTAACCTCTCCGATTACTTCTAATACCTTTACTACCTCTTCTACTATTGGATTTGAATTGACAATTACATCTCTGTGTGCTGCTGTGGTATGGGGCAACATGAACTGATGTACTTACGTACGAAGTTCTACATTGCATCTGACTGACTGACTATATTTTCTTTCAAAGTTTAGTACTGTATAATGTTGTTTGTTTCTTTGAAATATATATATATATATATATATATACATCATTCTTGTTATCAGGCTGCTTTCAGCTGGAACCACAATTGGATCTGGTTTAGGATATTTAAAAAATCTACCAGAATGGCAGAAACGTATGAGTGAAGCCTCCATAAGGAAATAAATGAATGAATTCTTTTTTCTTTGTGTACGCTTTTCTTTTTATAATGAATAATTTACATCATTTCGTGTATCTTTCAACAAAATTGTTTTCTTAATAACTAGACTAGCCCCCATTGTATATGTATGTGTAAATAATACTTATCGATGTAAGTAACCCTTTGAATGAATGATGATTTATAAGAAAATTATTGAAAAGTCATAACACTATATACTATTCTAAAATAATAACATTGTAATATTTTTTTCTTATTGTTAATAGTAAAACATTTCAATAAAATTACAAGCCCCTGCCTGTCCTATCTGGAACTAAGCACGAAAGTTGAATTCAGAATGAGGTTTCAGGAAATCAAGATAAATCAAGAATAACGTTTTGTGAACTCGATTGGTTTACATTAGCGGTGCTGGGTGATAAGTGGATGTGAGAATGGTTGGTCGTGCAGATAAGAAAGATGTTAGGGGGTGTAGGAAAGATTTGATTGTAGGCAATTCGGTCTCTTGTATGTATTGTTACGGGTATGATGGCGGATGTTACTTTCCCAGTTGCCCACACTATGGAAGTGTTTTTTGAGGAACATGGAAACGAAGTTAGGTTAGCGTTGGTCTTAGAGACCCGGTAGCGTGACCGCAGAGCCCAAGGGCAACTGCTTGAGATCGGTCATGAATAGCCTGTTTATGAAGTGTTAGCTTCGTTTTCAATCAAGTTATCGCCGGTAACAGAAATCCTTGGGATAAGGTGAAGTGTTGCAATTTTAGGGTCGACCTTTTCTAACCCCTTGCTTTCTTGTGAGAAGGCAACATCGCTGGTTCTCCAAGGGAAACGCCTTACTGTTGTCACACCCCTCTACAGTCAGCAGTACGACTTCGCCCTCAGACTTTCAGTTGCTGCTTATAGTCTCACCGTTGTCTAGTCAACCTCCCTGGCATGGCAGAACCTATAGGAAAATATGCTCCAGTCAACATAGCTCGGCTGGATCATAACGTTAGGCAAGCTCGATAACCACGTCAAGGTAGCAGCTAGGGTAGGGAGAAATGTTGGAGATCTATTGGAGGCACTTCAAGAACGATCTCTCTAGTCACATTGGTTGTTGCGCGAGCCGACCTAGATCTGTGAGACAGCAAGAGGGATGCCAAAACAAGAGCTTAATAATGAAATTTGACCTCGATTAGCAACCCGTGGCACAAGACACGAAGATGGTAGTCTCGCTGATTGAGTGCACTACACAAGGCTAACAGTAGATGATCACTAGCAAACAGTAAGAGAGATCATCCAGGATGTTGTCCCACTCAATGAATCTCAGGAACACAACACACAGGTAGAGAACCTCGGTAAAGGGAGACACTGAACGCCTGCTGCAGTCGAAAAGGAGGGCCTGGTACAAGTGGAAGGTCTCTTCGCGGGATCCTGACCGTAGTCCTTACTTGGCATTGAGAAACAGATGCAATGCCAGGATTCAACGTAATAGGAGACACTTCCAGATGAAGCTAGCAGCCAAGGTACGGGCAAGTCCAAAATATCTCTTTAGGTTCGTGAATAAAAGATAGCATACAAACCATGGTTGTACCCTCAAAGGTTCAAATAGAGAAAACCTTACCAACTTAGAGATGTAGGAGTTTTTTAAAACCAACATCGAACAATTAAACTGGATAGCTGACTGTCTAGGGATTGTCTGACTTAGTACTAAGAAAATAAAAATCACCAGTATGTGATAATATTCGCCCAGTCTAAAAGGAGCGCAGAAACCCTCAGTACACCGGTATATGACGTGCTCAGGCATTCACTGGGATCACACCAACTCACAGCTCAATGAAAACAAGCTCAGTTAGTCAATCAACAGCAACGTAGAACTTCGTACATACATACATCAACTCAAGTTGCCGAACCACATTAGCACAGAGATGTATTTAACAGATCAAAGTCCATAGTAGTAGAGGTAGTACTCGGGGAGATAAGGGTTCGAAAATATTATTCTAGTAGAATCTAGTGAAACAAGCTCTAAAAGAAAAAAGTAAAAGTGATGAGGAACTCAAAAGATAAGCATTTGAGAGAACAAGAACAATGAATGCACCTGTGTCAATTTTGAGCCATGTCATTCAAGGTCTCTAACCATCGATTACTAACATCTCGCAGACCCCAACCAGGTAGTCGACACCTACCGACATGACTTGGTCCACTTTTCAGTGAGTTCATGGATTTCTGCCATGTTTTGGTTTGGCCGCCCCTATCTTTCTTCCAACCTATTCCTTCACCGCACAATATAGCTCGAGGCAGTCGGTGGTTAGGCATACGCAACACATGTCCCAACCACCTCAACTGATGAAGTTTCATTACTTCATCTGTTGACTTGCCATCCTTACCTCTAACCCGTTTCCTAATAACAGCATTGCTTACTCGGTTGTTCGACGATACTCGAGCAATGCTTCGAAGACACCTATGATCTAAAACCAGTAAACTACGAATATCTTGTACTCTGACTGGCCATGTTTCACAGCCATATAGTAGGACGGAGCGAACTACTGCGCAGTACACTCGTCCTTCAGTTAGCAAACGGATATCTCGCCTTCTCCATGAGGTAAATTGGCAAAAGCCGATCGAGCCTTCTGTATCTGTGCTGAGATTTCGTCAGTCACCAGGCCATCAACACTGATGAGACTCCCGAGATAAGTGAAGCGGTCAACACGCTCAACTGCTTCACTCCCTATCACTAGTTCAGGTGCCCATACAAGCTAATCTTGAAGCGAAAATTTCCATTCCGAGGTGTAAAACCGCGTCCTGAGCTTGCTCTCATTGTTGCTCAGAGTAGTCAGAAGATTCTGCACTTGGTCAGCGTCTTCGCCGAATAGAGCTATGTCATCAGCAAATTCTGAGTCAACCAATGAAGCTCCCGGTAGAAGGTCAACTCCTGAAAATTCGGACGAAGATAATATTATATCTAGGAGCATGTCTATGATAAAATTGAACAAGAATGAAGAGTGTGAACATCTCTGACAGACAACACTTGAAGTAAATAATTCCGGTGACAGTTCGCCATAAGCTGTAACTCGACCTGTAGTGTTCGAGTAGAGAGCTTGTATAAGGTTAATGTACTTCTCTGGTACACATTTCAATGACAGACACTGCCGCAGAACCTCACGATCCACTGAGTCAAATGCCGCCTTAAGGTCCAGGAAAACAACTATTGTAGGACGCCTAAATGTGTGTCTGTGTTCCAGGACCTGTCGTAGTGTGAAAATGTGGTCTATACAGCCACGTCCAGGTCGAAAACCAGCCTGGTTTTCTCGAGTCTGCTCTTCACGAGCTTTCGTTAAGCGTCGAAGTATTACTGAGGCCAATATTTTAGATACTATATTAGTTAAACTTATTCCCCTGTGATTGTCACAAGAAGACTTCTGTCCTTTCTTATAGATTGGGACAATCAGCGATTGAGATCACTCGGAATGGATTACGTCCAGTTACCAGATTCTGCCTAAGATCACAGTCAATCTGACTGTTAAAACTGGGCCACCATCCTTAAAAATCTTAGCAGTCAATCTATCAAGATCTGCTGCTCTGCCTTGCTTCAGATTTCCTATAGCCTTACAAACTCGGAGGACTTATATCGATTTACCATTCAGGATGAACGGAGATCGTGGGCAAACGAAGTGTGGCTGAAGGCTAGTTGAACTGATAGCTGAAATGTTCTGCCCACTGATCCAATCTCCTGGATTTGAAATGGAAAATAAGACCACCCTTTTCCGAGACAGTCTCATTCACATTCGTCTTCCTAATACCGCTTTCCTAAATAAGTCAGAGCAACTGTCTACTGCTGCCTTTTCCACCTCTACTGCTTTGGGCTACCCAGCACTGTCCGCGATCATAGCGTAGGCTTTGTATTAGCCTGCATTTAAGCTACTTCGCTCTTCGTTTTGTTCAGAGGCAGACGGGATGAGTTTCCGAGCGTCTATCAGTTCGGTAGATGCAACTGAGATCCACTGCTTCTTCTCAACCATACTAGCAGATATGATTTGTTTCCACAGCTTTTTCGATATCATTCCAAGCTGCCTCAGGTTGGGAATCAGCAAACTGGCCGTCTAATTGTTCCTGAAACATATACTTATCCGTGCTATCACTTGGTAGAACCTTGAGAGGTTTTCTTGCAGTCTTTTCTACGTCTAGTAAGTCACGAACAATACGTGCCCGCACTAGAGCATGGTTTGAATCCAGACATGCGCACCAAAACGAGCGAAAATACCCATTCAAACCTATCCAACGGTGGCTGATGTGATCTAGTTGGGTCGGTTTTGCGGGTCACCAGGTCAAAAGATGATTTACATTATGCCCAAAGTTAGTGTTTGCTAGAAATAGGCGCTTATCTGAGCAGCAGACGATCGCCATTGTCTGTTGGATTAGCCGCGACACTAAAGGTCTACACAAGGGTCTTTCTTCCTCACTTAGTCTACCTACTTGAGCATTGAAGTCATCAGCAATTATTACAATATCAGAGCGACAAACCGTGTTGTTTCTCTATCTGAAATAGGTGAAACCAAATTAATGACTTTACGCGCTGTATGCGCGTTTTGTAGACGCAACATACATCGATTGCACGAGATTCCAGAGTTCTTGCTAATGAAGCCTGTCGACCTAGTCGGCACAAGGTTCGAACATTATGTAGTTTGGAGCGGGCTTTCAGGAGACTAGGAATAGCGTTTCGCGAGGTCAAACCGCTTGCTTCAGCGGTGTGAGGTGACAAGATATTAAAAGAAGGGTCGGTCGTGGAGATAAGAGTTATTGGATGTAGGAAGGATTTGATCTTGACCGATTCGTTCTTGTGTGCTTTTATGGGTAGGACGGCGGATGTTACTTTCCCGGCTGCCCACACCGGAAATAGGAAGGACCCAACTCGTTACAGACCAGTCTGATTAGTTCCGAAATCTCCTTATTAGCATTGGAATTTTCTATATTGCAACTAACTGATCTCCGGCCTGGTAACGTGATAGCTGCTGGTATCTAGAAACCCTAATTTCCTGAAACAAGCGCAATTATTCAAATCACAGGACATACTAATTCATCAGAAACTGCCAAACTAACTAGAATTATTGCAGTGGAGTGGCTAAAATACCATCTATTGGATATTATCGAATACCTGGAACTGTACCGAAAGAACAAGAATCGAGTGTAAAGAAGTTAATCGGTTATACAAGTTTATGAAAAAGATAATGGACTTAGAGCATAACTCACTTAAGGTGAAGCATATGTAGATGGCTAACGTTTTCTTTACACAGGTTGTGGTGGTTCCTGTTACATATTGAAATGACATATTTAATGTGCGTACACTGTATAAAGAATTATTCGCAGGAGTCATATCACGCTGCGTACTTCATTCAGACAGGTTCGGAAAGTGCCCCAGCTGTAAAATTATCGCTGCAGCATAGTCATTATATGTTAGTGAGCCTTATATCTTGCATAACTTTGTTACCAGAAGGTTAAGCGTTATTGCACACACCCTAGCTGGAAATTTGAAGCTGCTTGATTAAAAAACCTCTCTGCAAGTTTGTTTACTATCGAGAAGACGAATGGGTTTTGTGACTTTGACTTACAAGCGCTCAGCAACTTCTGTCAATGACGATGCCACTAAATCGTTGTGTCTTAATTATTGTAACTAGGATTCGCTTTTTAATGGCAATCAGCTTATACATAGGCTTTTTCTCGATCAGATACCATGCCTTTCTTTTAACTAACGTTCAAACCTGTCGACACCGGAGCAGTTCCGTTTTACTCTCAGTATGAGATGACATTTGACTTGTAACCAAGTTAACAGCATGAAATCTTACGGGAGAGCGACATGGGAGTATGCCACAACCTAACTAGTATGACAGATGCAAGACATATCGATTTCTGCAGAATCGAATCAAATTAACACTATATTCTCACACGGATCAACACACTTTGAAGCAGATTTAAAAAATAACATAACTACCAAACGTTGCACAATTGAAATTCCATGAAAACTAAATTAAATCAATTAAATTCGACCAGTTAGATGAAGTCGAAAAGGCTCTTTCGCCTACTTGAAAAGTACAGACTTAGTTCAAATAACTTTTATCATAACAAATCTCCAATCAGTCACAGTTTCGATTTTTGTGATATCTACTAATAAGTCACTAACGCAATAACTAAGATAATGTATATTCGCTTAAGGATGAATGAACAGCACGTCAAAAAATTAGAATAAAAAAAAATGAACACATGATATTGAAATGCATTATATAATTAGATAGATTTTGACGAGTTGACAGTAGTTCGGCAAGTCCGTTTGGCGGGGGTACATTCTGGTTCTGAATCCTGTACTCCTGTTATACGTTCCCGTGTTTTTGCGTTACTTGCTACAGAACTGACAACTTCACCAGTAGTATCTTGTCCATCTTGAGAAATATCAGAATTTTGTTCTTGTCCACCACTACTATTGGATAGAACAGAATCTGAGCTGTGAGGTAAATTGATAGGTTCCATACCAAGAACCTAGAACATAGGTTATATATAAATAAACAGTAAGAACTTGTAATATACATTTTATTGCAAACTTTGTGAGTGAATTAACTGGTAACTTTTAATTCACTCACAACATATCAAAAAAATAATATTACTTCTTATAGCTATCCATTAACGAAAGGAAGATGACTAGCATAGGATGATTTGTTATGAAGGCAAACCCAACTATTAATAAGCTTGCCGCAAAAACACCTAAGATTTAGAGTAAAAATGAACTAGTTTAATTTGACTACGTCAGATTATCAGTAAGAGATTAGCTTGAAAAAATACTTATGGGAAACAAAATTCAAAAGGAAGCAGGAGGAATGGAAAGTGACATTGATTGGAAACTTAACCTACTGGAAAGCATATTGAAACATTCTGACAGATGATTACTATTTTCTCTCTATTATCCTGCATATAATTAAATAGTGGATATTGGTCTGTCAAATTTAAAAGAGACTATTTTGCTCGCATATCGTGGGACACCCGAGTAAGCAACGCTGTTATTAGGAAACGAGTACTAGGTAAGAATGGCAGATCAATCGATGAAGTGGTGAAACTTCATCAGTTGAGGTGGTTGGGACATGTGTTGCGTATGCCCAACCACCGACTGCCTCGTCGAGCTTCGTTTTATAGTGTAGGAGTAGGTTGGAAGAAAGTTAGGGGTGGCCAAACCAAAACATGGCACAAATCCATTAAGTCATTGACAAGTGGACTTAGCCATGCCGGTAATTGTCGACTACCTAGTTGGGGTCCGCGAGATGTTAGTAATCGATGGTTAGATACCCTGAATGACATGGCTAAAAATCGTTCGCAATGGCGCCGGTGCATTTATTCTTTGTGTTCTCTCAAATCCTAATATTCTGGATTCTTCAACACCTCTAGTTTTGACTTTCTAAACTTTTCTCACTGAATCATACTTCTTGAATGATATCTTCTAATCCTAACCTTTTCGAAAACTTCTAATACCTTTTTACTACCTCTTCTACTATTGGATTTGAATTGACAATTATATCTCTGTGTTGATGTGGTATAGCAACATGAACTGATGTAGTCACGTACGAAGTTCTACGTTGCATCTCACTGACTGATAATACTTTAGAAATTAAATGAATCATCACAATTGTACCATTTAGATGTATTTCTGTAACCTAAGGAGGTAAACTGTCGTAGACCCAAATTAAGAAGTCTGGACCACGTGGTACGATTCAGTCCAAGGCAATGAATTAGCAAACTGATCGTATTTTAAAAATCAATTTTAAGCCATTTATTATAGGAGGAAGCTGTGGGTGATAATAGGCAGCAAATGTTGCGACCGCTTTAATCGATACGAAGAAATTGCAGCACTGCTCTACTTTACACTCTACTACAATGTAGAAAATTAATTTTAACTATCTATCATGTTTGACTAACTACAACAACAAGTATATGAAGTGGAAATTTTTGAAGAGCTATAATAATATTATACACATGGGGGAACTAATCTTGAAACTCTTGTTTACTATTAATTTGTGATCAGTTGTTGCACAGAATGAATACTTAAATAATTTGCATGAACATTTGTTCGTGAAAATGGTACCATTGATAAAAGTAAACACGATAGGACTGAGTAGCGAGATAAAAGAAATATAGTGGACACACATGGGTTCGTTAGGGGAACATAGATGGAATTGAAGCATGAATGCGTCAGCTGCGCGCTGATTGGCCAATGTCCTATCCAATCAGCGCCTGATCGATTGAGTCTTAGAGAACAGAGTAGAAAATTCTCGCATTGTTAGCTGCTTGCTGATCCAGTCGATCACGTGAATTTTGTTCCAGAAGCTTTCTCATGTAAATGCTATAAATAAACTAACGTTGTATCTATTTTTGCCTTCGCCATCACCTTTGGCTTCTTATTTCCATTTAACCTTGCTATTTTGGAATATAATCTTTTACTGTTCAACCGTGTTTTTGATTCTTGGGAACTTATCCAGTGGTGTATTGTGGTCAGAGAATACTAAGCAATAGGATTTAGCTGCGAATTATTGAAGGAAGCATTAAAACATGATGCGATATCAGTTTTTAAAGATAAGAAGCTAATCAAATTGGATCATAGACAACATGCTGCTTAAGAGTGTGTAGGAGCAAGTCCCTATTTGGTGGGTTGAGACAAGTATACATACACAAAGTGATAGTACGACAGGGATACTGTAATGAGCATACTCAAAAATGACTGCTGTATGAAAAGGACCTTTTGAATTAAGGACATTACGTTATGTAAGAGAAAAAGTGACCTTATATATAGTAGAACGAAAAATAACAATTACCTTATATAATTGATTAAAAGAAATTTGTCTGACAATTTGTTGAGCTGAAACAGTTATCTTTTCACAGACTTCCGTTGATATTCCATTAGAAATTGTAATATAGAATGGTTTTGTACAAGCCATAGGTATATTGTTGTTCTCTAGAGGAGTAGCAGCTTCAGTGTTATTTGCATTGGATGAATACTTCATTGCAAAGAATAAGTATCCATTAGCGATGGATTCGAAAAATCTACGTAGTAATTTGCAAGGATGAAAAAAATCACTTGGAACAACAGAAGAGAGACAATTTCTAGGTGATCCAAATTGGGTTGAAGGAGATGTGAAACCCAAGGCGGGATGACCAGAACGAGTTAACATATTGTACTCTAATGATAGCAAATGATCTAAGTGTACTTCAATATCCTAAGAAAATAAAAGATAACATGATGATGATGCTTCAGAAGCCTCAGCAAAATAAATACATTCAAATTCAGTCAGTCAGTCAGTTGCAACATAGAACTTCGTACGTAAGTACATCAGTTCATGTCGCCATACCACATCAGCACACAGATGTAATTGTCAATTCAAATCAAATAGTAGTAGAGGTAGTAAAAAGGTATTAGAAGTAATCGGAGAGATTAGGATTAGAAGATATCAGTCAAGAAGTATGATTCAGTGAGAGAAGTTTAGAAAGTCAAAACTAGAGGGGTTGAATAATCCAGAAGATTAGGATTTGAGAGAACACAAACAATAAATGCACCTGCGCCATTGCGAACGATTTTGAGCCATGTCATTCAAGGTATCTAACCATCGGTTACTTTCGTCTCGCGGACCTCAACCAGGTAGTCGACAATTACCGACATGGCTCAGTCCACTAGTCAATGACTTCATAGATTACTGCCATGTTTTGGTCTGGCCGTCCCTAACTTTCTTCCAACCTATTCCTACACTACAAAACAAAGCTCGTTGAGGCAGTCGGTGGTTAGGCATACGCAACACACGTCCCAACCACCTCAACTGATGAAGTTTCACCACTTCATCGATTGATCTGCCATTCTTACCTAGTACTCGTTTCCTAATAACAGCGTTGCTCACTCGGATGTCCCACGGTATACGTGCAATGCTTCGAAGACACCTATGATCGGAAACCAATAACCGACGAGTATCTTCTACTCTCATTGGCCATGTTTCACAGCCATAAAGTAAGACGGAGCGAACCACTGCACAGTACACTCGTCCTTTAGTCAGCAAACGGATATCTCGCCTACGCCATAAGTGACGCAGGTTGGCAAAAGCCAATCGAGCCTTCTGTATCCGTGCCGAGATTTCGTCAGTCACCAGGCCATCGGCACTGATGAGACTCCCAAGATAAGTGAAGCGGTCTACACGTTCGACCACTTCACTCCCTATCACTAGTTCAGGTGCCGATGCAACCCAGTCTTGAAGCAACATTTTGCATTTCGAGGGGGAAAAACGCATCCCGAACAAAATACATTCAAATTAAAGATATTAGATGTTAAATTGGAAAATTTATCAGTGTTTAGGAATTTCTTTATTGAATTTGTATTCATCAAGATATGTGTTAGTCAAGCTGTAATTAAAGAAAGTGATCTATTAGGGGATAATATTAGCGGTATTTGAGATGAGGTTACAAAGATATGATTTGAAAAGTGTTTCCAAGAGTAATCAAATTAAAGAGCGAAAAACATTAATGGGGAATTTAGAATAGAATATTGAAATACACAAAGAGTAGATAGATGTAGATGGCGCCGTTGCAAACGATTTTGAGCAATATAGTTCAAAGTCTCTAAATGTTGGTGGTTATAATTGTCTGGTGGACTCTAACCAGGAGGTAGTCGACAAGTACCAACATGACTCCATTCGGCTGTCAGTGATTTCATGGATTCTTAATCCATCATCTCTACACCACGTATCATCATTCGCGGAGACAGTCGGTGGTTGTGCATACGTAACACATGTCCCAACCACATCAAATGATGAAGTTTCAATACATCATCTATTGATTTACCACTCTCCTACCAAGTGCTCGTTTCTTAATAACAACACTATTGACTCGATAGTCCCAAAATAAACGAGCAATGCTTAGGAGTTACCTGCGATCGAAAACGAGTAACTTACGAATATCTTCTACAACATGTTTTACAGCCATAAAGTAGGAAAGAGCGAACAACTGCGCAGTAGACTTATTCTTTAGATAGCAAACGGATATCTCGCCTACGCCATAAGTAACAGGTTGACAGAAGCCAGTCAAGCCTTCTGTGTCTGTCCTGAAATTTCGTCTCGGCACTGATGAAACTGCTGAGATAAGTGAAGCGGTCAATACGCTCAACTGCTTCATTCACGATCACTAGTTCAAGTGCTGATGCAAGCCAATCCTGAAGCAACATTTTGCATTTCGAACATGCTCCAATTGTTGCTAAAGGTGGTTAGAAGATTGCATTTTGTCAGCATCTTCACCAAATTGAACTACATCATTGGCATATTGTAAGTCAACAAGGGAGTTCCCTGGTAGAAAGGTAACCCCTGAGAAGTCAAACGATGAAAGTGTTGTCTCTGAAAACGTCAATGACAGAGCTAAACAGGAATTAAGAAAGTGGACAGTCCCGACGAACAACACTTGAAGTAATCATTCCCGATGAGAGTTCACCATAAGCTCTAACTCGACGAGTGTTGATTGAGTAGAGAGCCTGTTAAAGGTTAATGTAATTCTCTGGTGCACCTTTCAGTGACAGACACTATCATAGAACCGCATGTTAAACAGTCAAATGCTGCTTTGAGGCTGAGAAATACTACTATTGTGGGACGGGGTCTGAACGCGTGTCTATGTCTTAGAACCTGATGAAGTGTGAATATCTGGTCTATACAGCCATGTTCAGGTCTGAAACCAGCTCTTTACGAGCTCTAGTTGAGCGTTGAAGTAGTTTTAAGCCAACTCCACTGAGAGTGGGAACATTTACTTTAACTTGCCATTCCGGGTTGACTGGCTATGGTGACTGAAGACCAGTTGAACTTCTCCTGAATGTGTTCAGTCCATCGATCTAATCTCCTGGATTGAGAATGAACAATAGTCCCATCCTTTCCTGAGATAGTCTCACTAACAGTCCAATTCCCAATTCCGATTTTCTTGATAAGTCTGAACTGTCTTTCTTGTCACTTTCGAAATATACTCTTAGCTTTGTTATCGTTGAGCGTAAATCGAGGTAGTTCTTTATTCTGATATGGTGAGACCGGGAGACGCAGTGTACATCGATGGCACGATATTCCAGAGTCTTTACCTATATGACACACGGTACGGACATTAAATGCTCTAATATGTAGTTTAGAGCGGGGTTTCAACAGACAAGGAATAACGTTTCGTGAACGTAAAACGGCTGCATTAGCTGACTCAGATTACGGAGGAATGTGACATGGGATAGTCGAGATAGAGTTATTAGGAGGGGAAGAAGAGGTTTTATTATGAGCGATTCGGTCTTGTGTGCTAGTTGGTGGATAACACTGGATAACAAGTCCCGGCTTCCCACACAGTGAAAGGGTCTGAAAAAGAAATCAGGTTGATGTTGGTCTTAGCGAGCATAATCGCAGAGTTCAAGGGACAACTGCTTGACGCCGGTCACACACAGCCTGTTTATGGAAAGTTGCTAAAGTGTTAGCTCCGCTCTTCAAGTTGCCTTACAGCAAAAGAAGGAGATCCATGGTGTGAGGTGAGGCGACATTGGTACAGTCGACCTTTTCTTACCCCTTGCTATCTTGTGGGAAGGCCGTGTTGCTGCAGATGCTGGTTGTCCGAGGGAAACAGCTTGCTGCTGTCACACCCCTATACAGTCAGCAGTACGGCTTCGCCTTCGGACCTCGAGTTGCCGCTTTCTGTTTCACCGTTCTCCAACCAACCTGTCTGGCATGGCAGAACCTACAGGAACATATGTCGCAGCCAGTAAAGTTCGGTCCGGTCATCACGATGAGCAAGCCTGACAACCACACAAAGATAGCAGCTAAGGTTGGGATGAAAAAACTGGGACGAAAAACTGCCACACACACGCAGTGCAAAACTATGAAAAACTTACAAATTCATTTAATTCGATCCAGTAGTCATTAGATTGGATAAAGTCGCGTAAAATACGACTAATTAAGAGTGTCGGACCTCCGCTTGCAATGTGCTGAAGTAAAAATATAAGAATAATCACTAATAAATAAAACCGTCTGTTCAATCGCTATTGATCATCAGAGTCTAGGTGATCCTAAATGTGTGTACTGATAGTGAGAAATTAATAAGATCTAATTAAAAAAGCCTGTTGTACTATTTTATATGTAAGGTTCGAACATTGAAGGCTTAAACAAGCGGTTTAAAGAGCAGTTTCAGGAGACCAGAAATAGAGCTTCATGAACTCGAATTGACAACACTCAAGATGTATGAGGACAAAGATAAAGTTGTGGTGGCCGATTTCGACATGTTCTTAAGCTTCGTAATTAGCTCGTCCAGATAATCGTTACTAAATAGCGTCTGACGGTTCATAAATCAGAAGGTGAACTCGAAGTGTTGAATACGTTTATCTTGGCACACCACAAAATGGGATAGCAGACCGGGCAGGCACACAAGCGAGCGAATGTGCCAATGGGCGAATGAATTAATAAGATTAAAATGTTCGTATATATACAAAGGAAAATGTCTGAGTTATCATGAAATTTAAGAGATTAATATTAAAGTGAATAGGACGAATATGCGCGTAGGAGGTAAGCAATGTTCAGTCATGCCAGTTCGTACAAACAAGACAATAAAAAATACCAATGGTTCATATGAGTTGTTGCTATACAAATAGCTTGGTTACATAAGTTAATCGAAAAGGCTTAATCAAATTAAATATAAGCGAATTCAAGTTTATGTAGAGGCACTACAAAGTCATGACGGTATGATTGACCGACAATGTGAACAGAAATATTGGGCTATGAATAGTGTGACCTAAGATGCTGTTACAGGTATTTAGAGTGGTTGCCTAATCCCGGCTGCCAGTATGATGAGGAAATACTTATACCTTATATGTTCCTGAAACCGACATTAGTAGACCGCAACAGTCGTATATACTTGAGAGCGTAAGCACAGAACTCAAAGGAAAATCACTTGTGATGGTCTGCAACAGCCTTCTGCTATCGGAATAAGGTGAGGTGTAATTTACACTATATTGATCATAAGACATGATCTACATCTAACTAATTACTCAATTTGAAATAAACAAAATTAAATCAGTAACATTTTAAACAAAAATCCCATTTCCAAAAAGACACCCATTATCTTGAAGAGTGAATACGTTTTCAGACAAACAAAAACACAATGGTAGTATATTGGAGCACTTACTTGAAACCACGATGCATGATCAAGATCATCCATGTATTTTATGCACTTTTCTCTAGGAATTGGATGACCGTTAGTGATCAAGCGTTGGACAATCGGTGCAATTTCTAAACAAGGAAGTAAGGATACTTATTTGTATAAATCTAATCACAAAGAATAGCAGCGATGAAACTTAGTGAGCAACATACAGAATGAAAGGCAGATTTAGTCAATAACACAAGCATTCAATAAAATGAAAAATATAAATGACAAGAGAGAGCACTGAGATGATCAACTGCGAAAATGCTAGTAAAATCGAAATCTAAGCGCACAGCAAACTGTCATCGGGAGGGATTATTTCAAGTGGTATTAGTCACGATTTCCCACCGTCCCAATTCTTATTCAACTCTGTCATTGACATGATTTTAGAGACAACGCTTTCATCGTCTGACCTCTCAGGAGTTGACTTTCTACCAGGGGACTCGCTTGTTGACTTACAATATGCCAATGATATAGTTCAATATGGTGAAGACGCTGACTACATGCAATCTTCTGACCACCTTCAGCAACAATGCGAGCATGTTCGAGATGCGATTCTCTCCCTCGAAATGCAAAATGTTGCTTCAGGATTGGCTTGCATCAGCACTTTGAACTAGTGATCGTGAATGAAGTAGTTGAGCGTATTAATCGCTTCACTTAACTCAGGAGTCTCATCAGTGCTGATCGCTATATTTTATATTTTTTGAGTAGTGACAGATTCGTGAATGCAATATCACAAAGAATGGAGACCGATAACAAGGTTAATAGATCGGAGATCAGATTTAGCGTCCTACAATAGTTGTTTTCCTGGACCTGAAAGCGGCATTTGACTGGCCGCCCCTAGCTTTCTTCCAACCTACTCCTATAATACAAAACAAAGCTCTTCGAGGCAGCCGGTGGTTAGGCATACGCAACACACGTCCCAACCACCTCAACTGATGAAGTTTCACCACTTCATCGATTGATCTGCCATTCTTACCTAGTACTCGTTTCCTAATAACAGCGTTGCTCACTCGGGTGTCCCACGATATACGAGCAATGTTTCGGAGACACCTATGATCGAAAACCAATGACCGACGAATATCTTCTACTCTGACTGGCCATGTTTCACAGCCATAAAGTAAGACGGAGCGAACTACTGCACAGTACACTCATCCTTTAGTCAGCAAACGGATATCTCGCCTGACTAAAGGACGAGTGAAGTTACTACCTACTGTCAACAAAATCAAGACCATCAGAATAATTAGTAAGTAAGCGCTGACGAAATTGTCTAGAACGACGGTGAAAATCCAATTAGCTCAAAAAAAAAAATCAACAAAACTGACAATATGCTTTTCTGTCATTATTTTTGTTCAAATAACTATCGCATCAAAATGAGTTCGCAGTAAAAACATAATAAACCTTAATTTTTTCTGATATTAATAAGAAAATAAGATAGAAATGACGTATTCTCACAGGTTGTGATGTAAAGCATATATGGCTATTATGAGAAAAAATTACCAATTGTTCGTTGTTGTTTACTTGCTTACAATAGGTTGTTCATATGAAAATTGTGTAACTTATGTAAGTGAATAATAATGAACCCAAATATCCTAAGAATACTATTTTTAAAAGTACAATCCTATTGGTCGAAATTATGGTCGTTTTAGCTGTCAAAGTCTCTGATTGGTCATCTGGACTGTCAATGTCATTTCAAATGTTCTTTTCTATTGGTCGTACTAAACTGTCAATGTCACAGACTTTGATGCTCTTTCTTATTCGACCTTAATGTATAAATACGCACTATCTGTAAGCCTTCAGGATTCCGATTCCAATTCTGTTTCTCCTGAAACCGCTCTTTTGTATTCGACCCAATAAACAACTCCATTCCACGGTGTTGCGTTCTGATATCTAGGAGATTTGGAAATAGCATTTTGGGTCTTATTGGGATATTTGAATTGGACACCGCTAGGACTGAAGAGCTATACGTAGCAGCGTTACAACAGAAACTATTAATTATCAGTTATAAAAAATAACATTTGTATGAAATGATTGTGATAAATGCATTATTTCTAAAGATAAAAATATAATAATTACCAGTTATATCTTCAGAAGCAATTTCATTTTTTTGAACTACTACTACTGCCGGAGAGGTTAAATTGATCACCAATGTTATAGTAGGCCAAACAGTAGATTCATTTTCTTTACAGATAGATTTTAAATTTACTTCCGAAATATCATTTTTATTAAATGAAGATGGATCTGAACAGGATACCATGATTGTGATTGTTCCCATAGTAGGCTCTGTTGTGACAGTATATTGAAGACGGGATTCCAGTGACTATGAAAAAAATCAAGCCAATATATTCCAAATCACAACCCAAGATCGATATCACCTTCAGGTTCATTGAACATATTTCTCGCAATTTCTCAATTTTCACCCTAATGTATAATGAACCTGCAGGATATATCGACTAGGGTTTTAAGAAAATTATAAATAGTTGATTTCTCTTTGAAGTGCTTACTTAAATCAAATTCATGACAATTTGCAGCAAACCCGTTAGTGGGACATAGATGGAGTTAAAGGATGACTGCGTCAGCGTCGTTAGATCGATATAGATAAATGCTAGTGGGACATAGACGGAATTGAAGCATGACTACGTTGCTGCTCGCTGATTAGCCAATTTCCTATCCAATCAGCGCCTGATCGAAGCTTGGAGAACAGGATAGAAAATTCTCGTATTATTAGCTGCATGCTGATTGGTCAAATCCAGTCCAGTCGATCACGTGAATTTCTATCCAGAAGCTTCTCATGTAAATATGCTATAAATAAACTAACGTATCTATTTTTGCCTTCGCCTTCGCCATCACCTTTGGCTTCTTATTTCCATTTAACCTTGCTATTTTGGAATATAATCTTTTCCTGCTCAACCGTGTTTTTGATTCTTGGGAACTTATCCAGTGGTGTATTGTGTGGTCAGAGAATACTAAGCAATAGGATTTAGCTGGGAATTATACTTTAGCAAGTGTTACAACAAAACCAATTAAAAAATTCAGGTAGTTTAACAATAATTATTTATACATAAACTAAACTTAAATCGGGAAAAGGTCAACATCCTTGTTCAAGTAGAATCTTCTAAATAGACTTGACGATTAACTAACTTAGTTATCAATCGAATTAATGCATATTGAATGTGTAAAATTAACTTGCTAACAAGTGCACAATAGGTTAGTTACTACGCCCCCCCCACACCTTACAATTGCATTTGAGTAGAGAGTATAACAAATCTGACAAAGTGAACAAACGTTATTCAATGAATGATAAGGCATCAACAAAACAGATGATTACTTAAAAACTAACACTAACCTTCATTAATTTTGCAATACTAGTTGATACATAAGTTGTCAATTCTTCAGTAGGCCATTTAGAACATACCAGTACGAGTTCTGCTGAATGTTCACCTTTTAAGAGTATATTTTTGCCCAATGCTCCAACACGTACAACACCACAAAGTAGACGTTCGCCAACTTTTTCTTCCAATTCATTCAAATTATTGTCATCACAAGATTTAACAGCTTCAGTGGTAGTATTGCAGGAGGAATCTGACAATAAACGTCCTTGTTTTAAAAGATCATTACTGACATCTTTTAAAGCACGTTCGCAAATTGTTACAGCCAACATCATTGTCTTAATGGAGAAGAGAAGACAAAGAAAATAAATTACCTTAGTTTAAAAAAAAAAGCAAAACATTTCATTTTAGTTGAAAAACTTCTACTGATAGTAGTATTATAAAGCAACTCAATAATCCACGCAGGACACATGATTTATCATTGCTGAACCGTATATTTTGTGTTTAGAGCTAATCATATAAACACAGACATCAGATCGATATAGATAAATGCTAGTGGGACATAGACGGAATTGAAGCATGACTACGTTGCTGTGCGCTGATTGGCCAATTTCCTATCCAATCAGCGCCTGATCGATTCTTGAAGAACAGGGTAGAAGATTCTGTTAGCTGTATGCTGATTGGCTAAATCTAATCCAGTCGATCAAGTGAATTTCTATCCAGAAGCTTCTCATGTAAATATGCTATAAATAAACTAACGTTGTATCTATTTTTGCCTTCGCCATCACCTTTGGCTTCTTATTTTCATGTAACCTTGCTATTTGGAATATAATCTTTTCCTGTTCAACCGTGTTTTTGATTCTTGGGAACTTATCCAGTGGTGTATTGTGGTTAGAGAATACTAAGCAATAGGAATTAGCTGGGAATCATTTAAGTAAGCATTACAATAATAAAGTTAGATACAAGCATGTAACTCGATTATTGAAATTTTTAATTGTTCAGTTTTTAATTGTTTTTTAATTGTTTCAGTTTTAAGTGTTCAGTTTCATAACTCAACCACTGTATGAAAAATAAGAGAAATATTGCCGGATGCATTTATTCTGTTTTTTCATTAAATTACAGACTACTTCCTTGAGTAAAAAAGAATTATAATGGGAGAGAACTATAAACACATTACACCACAACAGTAATACAATACTACGGCCGCATTCATGACTGAATGTTATAAAATTTCTAATATGTTTACTAAGTTACATGCGATACTGTAGTATTTAACGGCTGAGAACGATTAACAGAAAACTTAATTTGAACTGCAGTGAACGAAAACACAGGTGGGGCAACCGAATTGTATTTAACGAAAATTACAGAGTTACTCAGTAAAATTGGAAAACCATATCGTAAATCGTTAATTTGCAAAATATCAGTTCATCATATCGAACTGGACTGTTCCTAATGCAAAACATCAATCCATTGTCACTATTCATGCGTTTCATTAAAAATTCCATTGTTTTCTAACTCTTCCTATCTTGATCTCTCCCCATCTTCCGCTGCCAGACATTACGTTGACACTCACGTCATATGCTACTTATAAGCAGCTCATACCACAGAACCACATTTGGTTAGGGTTGAGACGTAGAAGGAAGATGTTTCAATAACCATCAAAAACGCCCACATTACTGTGATGGTGGTTTCAGAGCAAGCGCTACTCTGATCAGTACCAAGAAATATGAAAACTATAAACTGAAATTTTCGTAGACAAGTCTATATATATACGGATGTAACCATTAGTAGTACACACCGATAGAAAAAATACACGTTTCAATAGACTAACTAGTAAAACTAATAATTAACAGACAAAAGGAGAAATCGATTTGCATGGGAAAAAAAACTTCATAAAATTAATATAATAAGTAAAAAAAAAAAATAATAAATAGTTTTACCTGAACTTCCCAAGCTGTTGGTAGTAAAGAAGCATGCTTACAACTGATATATCTATTTTCTATAGATTTATTAGGAGTTTGAGGAATGCATAATGTAGAGTATTGTCCACGAAAACGATTATATGGTAATGCATTTACACCATTTCCTATCACTACACTACTACTATTACGCAATGTATTGAAAGTGGGAAAGCTGTTAGCAGTTGGTTTCTGAAATTGTATAAAACGGATACACATATTGTCATTGACTGGGAACAAATTAGTGACAAGTGTGTATTACTTAACAAAAAAAAAATGGTAAGAACTATAAAGCATTTCTAACAAGATACAGGGTATAAAAGTTTAAATTTATTATCAACCATGATGTTACAAAATATATAGTTGATATTAGGATTGTGGTTAAAATGTGTAGTACATATCTATAAATTGTAAAACGATGCACATAAATATTTAAGGATAAGTGATTAATTGACTAAATTTTTCGAATAAATGCCACTTTTGTTGATATCGTGAATTATTTATTTGGCTGTATATATAATGTATTTCAGTAATCCAACTAGTTAAAAACTAGGCTGTATAATAAATGGTTTTGAATTGATGTTAAGATATGTCACCGGAATTAATTACTTCAAGTGGTGTTCGTCACGGCTACCAATTCTTATTCAACTCTGTCATTGACATGATTTTAGAAACAACGCTTTCATCGTCTGACTTTTCAGGAGTTGAATTATTTCTACCAGGGAACTCGCTGGTCGAATTACAATATGCCAAGGATATAGTTCTATTTGATGAAGACACTGACCAAATGCAATCTTCTGACCACCTTTAGCAACAATGCGAGCATGTTCGAGATGCGATTCTCTCCCTCGAAATGTTGAACTAGTGATCGTGTTGACCACTTCACTTATCTCAGGAGTCTCATCAGTGCCGGTGGCCTGGTGTGTGAAGAAATCTCAGAACGGATACAGAAGGCTTGACTGGCTTCTGTTAACCTGCGTCACTTATGGCGTAGGTGAGATATCCGTTCGCTAACTAAAGGACGAGTTTTCTGTGTATTAGTTTACTCGGTTCTAATAAACGGGTATGATGCACGGCAAGTAAGAGCAGAAGGTATTTGTAAGTGTCTTTGAAGCATAGCTCGTATATCGTGGGGAAATCGAGTAAGTAATGCTGCTGTTGGGAAATTGGTACCAAGTAGGGATGGCAGACTGATAGATGAAGTAGTGAATCTTTATCAGTTGGAGTGGTCGAGATTTGTGTTACGAATGCCCAACAACCGACACGCCAGCCAGAGCAAAACATCACACAAAACGCAAGGAATAATCTTAAAATACGTTTTTATCAGGAACATCAACTGATCAATATTTAGGTTTGCAGTACTCACACATACATCACGAACCGATCTTAGAAGACATCAATCGAAAATCAACAGTGTAACATCTGCAAACTCAACTAAGATCAGTTAGTGATGTAGACTATGGAAACCAAAAATTTCCGTAAATTGTCCGTAGTAATCAACAGTTACGTGCACATTAGTGACTACTTTGAAGAGGCAATTCTCAGAGTTCTAATGAAATCCAATCATGCCGGGTGTGAGGTTGTTGCCCGAAAAGAACATTCGGATTCGGTAGAGTAATCACGCGAATGTATCGGAGTTAGACATAAAAACAATTCAATTCCAGACCAGTGGTCTAAAGCCTAGGTGTTTATCGCGAGACTTGAAGTTTCTGAATGTGATCGTCAACAGTGTCGTAGGTGTCAATTGCTAGGGAACCAACCCTATTCTAAGGTGGAAAAGCTGCCCCAAGGACTTCTTGTTTCTCAATGTTTGTTGAACTAAGATCTATAGGGCAATGTAAGCTATAAAATAATTTATTGAAAAATAATATTATAAATTACAGTAGAACCTTTGGGTCTACTGCCGGTCCCAAGCCCGGGGTAAAGCAGGAGGGTTGGACCCCATGGGGTTGGCGACCCCATTCCGTCAAAAACTAACTTGCCAAAAAAACGCTAACCAGAAAAAATAATTCAAACCATTTTAACTCTGCCCTGGGAGTTGGAAGAAGAATTATGACGTCGCGTGATGAAAGCCGAGTTCCCTCGGAAGTCACGGGGCTGATGCCTCTTCTGACAACCAGAGCAACCATTCTTTCAGGTACATGGAACGTTCGTACATTGTGGGAGACTGGAAGACTATTTCAAGTTGCAGCAGAAATGAGAAAATACAACCTCGAGGTGCTCAGCATCAGTGAAACGCATTGGACACAGGTAGGACAACTGAGACTAGCTTCAGGGGAACTGCTATTATACTCTGGTCATGAAGAGGAAAATGCTTCACATACCAGATCCCAGTGGCTTAGGAAATCAGGAAGCGGTGGAAGTGGATAGGACATACACTACGACAAGCACCTAACTGCATCATCATAAGACAAGCCCTCACATGGAACCCTCAAGGCAAAAGGAAAAGAGGAAGGCCAAAGAACACATTACTTTTCGGAGAAATAGAGAAAGCAATGAGAGGAATGAAAAAAAACATTGGACAGAACTGGAGAGGGAAGCCCAGGACAGACAGTGTTGGTTGGAGAAAACTGGTGGGCGGCCTATGCTGCTCCATTGGTGGTAACAGGCGAAAGCAAGTAAGTAAGTAAGTAAGTAAGTAAGTAAGTATTAGTGATGTTCCTAGTAGAAAAAAAAATTATAAAAAAAACCTACTAGTTCGTTACGTTTCGCTTTTTTGTCTTTATTTGCTGCTGCTGCTGCTACTTTACGATTCAGTTGATTCGTTGGATTTGGATCGACAATGAAAGATGGATCAACTTTTTTTTTGTATTGTTGACGATGACGTCGACCACGTAAATGACATTCACGTGAATCTGGATTGGAAAATTCACAATCACATAATTTGCAACGATATTTCACAGTTTTATTATTGTCACTAATAGTCTGATTTATTGATGAAAAATTTACAACAGAAAAAGGAAAGAAGAAAACGTCATTATAACGATCAAGTTTGATTAACGTTAAGACTGAAATACACAAAGTCTTACATGTGCAAAAACTTAATATACACATTAAGAAATTACAATAATAAGTTATTATTTTCAAGAGTAAGATATGATATAATTTCCAAAGTAGCCTGATATTAATTAAGTAGTGACTAATGATTATTTTAGTTACTCATAATAAGAAAACGGGAATGCTTAAAAAACTGTGATCTTATACTAAAGTCAGTCAGTCAGTCAGTCAGTTGCAGCGTAGAACTTCGTACGTAAGTACATCAGTTCATGTTGCCCCATACCACATCTCAGCACAGAGATGTAATTGTCACTGCGAATCCAATAGTAGTAGAAGAGGTAGTAAAGGTATTAGGAGTAATCGGAGAGGTTAGGATTACAAGATATTATTCAAGAAGTATGATTCAGTGTGAGAAAAGTTTAGAAAGTCAAAACTAGAGGTGTTGAAGAATCTAGAAGATTAGGATTTGAGAGAACACAACGCATAAATGCACCTGCGCCATTGCGAACGATTTTGAGCCATGTCATACTAAAGTAAGTGTACTTAGCGCAAAAAACACTGTAGAGGTTTGTGTATTTTAAGAGATACTTATTGTCTGAAAAAGTTTACAATTATTGAACTTCCGAAAATCTTGACAAGTAAATAAGATTTTGAATGTGCCATTCATTCACTAGGTAAAAATCGAATGAGTAAACCAATTATTGGAACATAGTGATAAAAAGCTGTAGATAATGAACATGTTCTTTACGTTCCCAATTGCGTTTTCTTATATAAGTAAATCATCTGAAACAAAATTTGAAATAGGTGATTATGTTAAATAAGAAATGAACAGAATAATAAGGCTACTATTCCGCTTTTCAGGCGAGTTTGCTGTACCCAGTAGAGAAGTCTTCAGTGTAATCAAATATCGAAGTGCCACCACCGAATTGAAAATATCCAATTGTAACAGGCAAAAATATCGAGCAAACAGGGCTGGTGATCGACCTACTTATGAAATATCTCATAAATTAAGCTTTCATCTAATTTGTTACCCAATCTCTTTGAATAAGTAACAATACAAATATTTATTTTCCTGACATCACATTTAGCGATGGAAACTAGAAACAGAGTCGAGAAGAAACGACTACAAGTTTGCAGTAAGTATTTTTTTTTGAGAGACAAGAAATAAATGCGATCATCTGTTGATGATGTAGTTGAATTTCCTCGAGAACTTTTATCCTTTCAAAGACACAACTATGACAGCTTTCCTAAGATTAATAAGATCCCAACAAATATATAGTAAATTCATTTGTTTGTATAAATCTTAGCCTTTGTATGGTTAACATTTCACAATATTCTTAATCAAATTCGTCAGTCATACAAAATATAAAACCTAGCACACATGTACATCCGATCAAGTTGCTATACCTCACCCTATTACTACAACCATATGACATTATCAGGGCAAATTCAAGAGTAATATAAGTAGTAATAGTATGACTGGTGATGAGGATAAAATTCGGGAAAATGTGGATCAAAGTAATAATCTATACGATGATTTAAAGAAAGACCGAGTAAACGCACCTGCGCCGGTGCGAACGATAAACTTTAGACGTAAATCTTCTGCTAAATTTCTTCATATTATGCTTAGGCTAACCAAATTCGAGTGACGGCAGTCGTCAAATCTAAATACGAACGAAATTGGAAGTTTATTTCAGATAGCCATTCAAACAAAGACGGTAAGTGGAACATGAAGAAAGGCTTTACAGTCTACGCGATTTAACTAAAAAACACGTTTCAGCATTTGTAGGTACAGCAGATGCAAATAACTATGTATACAGATACGTACGATTATCGACACATGATCAAGGTGATACGTGAATAACAGAATAACTCGGATGATTAAAATCAATTTATTTGTTCAAAAGTAAGGATATATTTTATAGGCATGTAACAATGCTAATTTCTACACCCAAATCGTCGGTAATGGTAACCAAGTGAGCCTTCCCCAAATGGTCTGAACTGACCTACATCACACAGTTCAGTAGGTTTAGTCTTCATGAAATTATACCGTATCTTGATTTGGTTACCTCTGGTTTTTTTTAAAAATCTACTCCTATGTCGGTTGTTACTGAGCATTGACGCATTCAATAGATGGGTAAAGATCAAAGTTATAATGACTGCATGAGGAAAGCGACACCCTTATGACTCTTGTCAAATGTTCAGGTATTATATTATTTTATTTAACCTAAAACTGGACACTATCAGAAAATAAGAGCATGATAATTGTATTACATAGGCACTTACAGTTTCTAGATACTCTTGTCCAACAGCAGGCAGTTCAGGACCAGCAAGTTGTTTTAAATCAATATGCTTCATAAACGTATTTTTAAGAGTATTTGTTTTTTTTTCACCCTCTTCATCTGAAGTAAAAAATGGGAAATGCATTCTGTAGTAATGAATAATAAGTAACAGAAAAACATGGAAATAAACTACTTGAAATTAATCATACCGAAAAATGAAATTTATTTGAGCAGTACCAGAAAGTGAAAATAAATCCGGCACAAGCACACTGTTTTGTCTCATTTAATTTAAAGGTAAATGATCAACATATTTCGCTAAGAAAAACAAAGAATAGAAGGGATTCATAAGTGAAATTAACCTGGATTTTAGCCGCCTATTGTACTAGTAAGAAATACCATAATTAGTGCTTATCAGCTTTTCGGCAAGCATATTTTTCGACATACATCTGGAATAATGAAATGAGTAGTTTCTAAGCCAAGGATTAAACTAACAATAAAATATGACGGAAAGCGCTATAATATGAGTAATAAACAACTTTCAACCAAAACCAAAATCAGGATTTTCAATACAAATGTCAAGACAGTTCTACTGTATGGAACGGAAACTTGGAGAACTACCAAAGCCATCATCCAGAAGATACAAGTGTTTATTAACAGTTGTCTACGCAAACTGCCTCAGATTCGTTGGCCAGACACCATCAGCAACAACTTACTGTGGGAGAGAACAAACCAGATTCCAGTGGAGGAGGAAATCAGGAAGAAGCGGTGGAAGTGGATAGGACACACACTACGACAAGCACCTAACTGCATCACGAGACAAGCCCTCACATGGAACCCTCAAGGCAAAAGGAAAAGAGGAAAGCCAAAGAACACATTACTTTTCGGAGAAATAGAGAAAGATATGAGAGGAATGAACAAACATTGGACAGAACTGGAGAGGGAAGCCCAGGACAGACAGAGTTGGTTGGAGAAAACTGGTGGGCGGCCTATGCTCCATTGGGGGTAACAGGCGTAAGTAAGTAAATAAGGCAAACTACGACCTGCTCAGAAATGTGCCTAAAAAGCTCATAAATAAGATTAGCTGAAGGTATCTAGGAGACATGAATATCCTTTAAACAGAGTGTACGAATTCCAACAACAAAATATCTTAAATGAAAGTACAATATGACACTTAGAATCTGTAACAAATATTCCAAACAATGACTATGTGAGAGAAATGTGAAGTAGCAGATCTGATCTAGGGAAATGCAGAAAAACAAAGCAATCCTAAATAAATTACCTAGTTTAACATCGTCAACTGTAGTAGTGGTAGTAGTAGTAGTTGCTGTTGTTGTTGTTGTTATCATATCTGCTACAATAGCTGGCACAAGAGGATCATCAGTTTCTGGAATTGGTTTTCCTAATTCTTTATGCAACTTAAGCGTACGTTGATGCTGTCTACCAGACAAATGAGCGGTATAAGAGTCGACACCAGTGCAACCAACATCACATAGTTCACAACGTAATTCTCGAGAAGTTGAATTAATGATTAATGATGAATTTCCATCAGTAGATACTTCCTTTTTTAATTTTTCAATCGCTTCAACCTAAAAGTAATTTTAAAAACGAAAACAATTCATGTTAAAAAGATATCAAGTCAATTAAATTATAGTATTGTATTCTTTAAGAATGATTCAAGAACTACAAGATGAAGTGAAATCAAACAGTTGATATGTTTTACATGTTGTGACCGTGAGAACTCAATAGCTTTAATCTGCATACCTGGATCGATTCGAGAAAACAACACGTACAATATGAGTACATACAGAGAGATTGAGAAATACGGTACGTTCCCAGAGTTTTGCCATGAACAAAGCGAGAGATTCATTCAAACAAGGGAATAAAAAATAACGCATAATTTCCAAGTGATTTAACATTTGTGACAATGCTGCTTATTCAAGTGTCAAGAAGATTAATGTTAGCGGGACATAGATGGAATTGAAGCACGACTACGTTGCTGCGCGCTGATTGGCTAATTTCCTATCCAATCAGCGCCTGATCGAAGCTTGGAGAACAGGATAGAAAATTCTCGTATTATTAGCTGCATGCTGATTGGTCAAATCCAGTCCAGTCGATCACGTGAATTTTCTTCCAGAAGCTTTCTCATGTAAAGGCTATAAATAGACTTGCATTGTATTTGTCTTTGCCTTCAAGCCTTCTTTGCCTTGGCTTTCGCCATCACCTCCAGCTTCTTATTCCTTGTTATTTTGGAATACAAATCTTCCTGTTCAACCGTGTTTTGATTTGGGACACTTGTCCAGTGTTTTGTGTCAAGAATACTAAGCAATAAGATTTAGCCGGGAAATATCCTAAGCAACCGTTACAACAGTTAATTATTATATTCTGGATAAGTTATAGTTTTTCAGGGTTATTCCTACAACACACCACGTATGAACGTAAACACAAACTATATATATTCAATTGACATGGTAATGAGAAACTTTAAAGTTCGTAAAGAACAATTTCAGACAAATGATAGTTTTCAATCCTTTATAATCCATTGCATTAAAAAAAAAGCAATCCAATTAAAAATAAATAAATCTAACAGTAATTGTAGTAAAATTTTTACCTGGGACAATCTTTTTTTATGGCGTTGACCAGATTCATGATCTTTGAAGGCTAATGGACCAGCACAACTGACTTTGCAAATATCACAATAAAAAACAGACGGTTCTTTTGTTGTAGCAGCAGTTGTAGTAGTAGTAGCAGAAGCAGGAGTAGTAGTAGTAGTAGCAGTGGCAGTAGCTTGGTTGGAACGATTTTGAAAACCTATTAAAAAACACCAAAAGAGTAAACTCAACATTATTTGTGTCAACAGTGAGTGCGATGATCTATCAACTACATAAAGATTAATTGCTTTGCACTATAATTGCAACCAAATTTGATGCGATTCCTGCCTAAAATCAGCTCGCTTATAAATCAGCGAGTTAGAATTTCAAGCCACAGCACATATCACGAAATTATGTGATTATATATGATAAATAAGTTAATGAAGATGATTTCAACATCCATATAAGTCACTGTACTCATCAATATTATATAATTCCAAGATAAAACATTAGATTTTTCGTTTATTGAAATTCGGCTATTATTCACACATAAAACCTTACCTCCTCTGTTCCTCTTGAAAGGACCAGGAGTTCTAACACGCCCACGATTTTGAAATGAAGAGTCCTCAGGAGTTCTGTTGTAATGGACAGGAGTTCCAGTATATACTGATTGAGGTGCTGGATTAGGTTGTGGAGTGTGGTTTTTAATATCAGTGTAAAAGGTATTAGTTGGAGAACTTAAATTCATCCAATTAGGAATCTCGGGAGGAACACGAAAACCAAACTGATTCTGGTAACCAAGGGCTACAGTGTTATTTTCAGTAGCTTCAGCAGTTACTGGTAATTGTTCTGCAAAATTAACACAAGTTTCATCTGAAGAAGGCATTATGCCAGCTCTGTTGTAGTACTGGGGGGCACAAAGCGAAAATCCATTGTCACTTTGAAAAGGTGTAGACCGAAAATCCTGGGGTGGAAGTTCAAAACTATAGGATCTGGGTCCAGGTCTTTGAACAGCGTTTCCTACAAAATTGAAGAGAGGCAAAACGATTTCACGTACCCACAGTATAAACTTAGGAAACGAGAGACATCTAATCAATCGCAAAAGGCCAAACTAACTAATCTACACCTTTTTATGATTACATAGTAATTGTAAAATAAATAGATCGTTGATCATGAATATGCTAACAACCAATTAAGCAATGCGGATAACCGGAGGAAGAACTAACGTTAATTTGCTGAATAACACACTATACTGAAAAGCTAAAGTGAAAAATGTATTTGAGCTAGAAGATATAGGAAAGATGGGTTGACGGATGTGAATCAACGCCTACTAAACTACATTCAAAATATGAACTTTAATAATCTAAAGATTTGCCATTTTTGACAGAAGTGGTAACGCTTAAAACATTTATAAAGGCCTATTTTTTAAATGATAACTTATGAATGTGTTAGGATATTCATCCAATATCCTAAGAGAATTATTGGTCAGTTCCTACTGGTCAATTTTATGATCGTCTTAGATATCAATGTCACGTGCTTTGGTCGTCTTAACTGTCAATGTCACAGACTTCGATGATGTTTCCTATTCAACCTAAATGTATAAATAAGCATTATCTGTAACGTTCTATGACTAGGACCCGGTCCCGGATCCCTAGTCTGGGACCCCGGTTCTCTTCTGGACTCGGACCTCATACTTGCTCAATGCTTATAGAATACAGGTTCTACTTCATATCAAGTCTTCTTATTTTTACTAAATATGGTGGTTGGGACGCTAGGACTAGAGTAGCATGTCGTGTGCATCAGATCCTCGCTCTCGTTTTCGGACTAAGGTAAACTCGTAATATTTCAAGTATATCAAGTTGACGTGTTTGCGTGCATGCGTAACAGAATGTGAAGTTATGGGTGCCATAATATGAATGAACCAACACAAACGGGGCTAATTCGCGATTACCTGAAGAAGAGAAGTTATATTTTACTGCTCATAATATTGTAGACGCCAAATTTGTATACCCATTGGCAAGCATCATCAATGACCAGTAACATATCTTTACAATTCCGCTCCTAGTCGTAACGCTTCAAAGTTGGTATTATCTAAGCGTACAAGCTCATAACCAGTTTCCACTGTCGTTTTAATTGCTTCTAGAATGCTGATAATGCTGGTAAACTATGGACAGTCAAATACTTGTCAATCCATGAAGTCACTAACAACTGGACTGAGCCATGCTAATAAAGTAATTTATAATACAGACAACTCAGTTTTGTTTAAAAATTGTAATAGCAATCCTTACATAGAATGCAATTATTTATGCACCCAAATAGCAAATGTGCGCTTACCAAACGAATTCACATCACTTGTGTAAAATGTAGGTGGTGGTTGCACGCCATACTGATGACCGAATTGATTCATGATGGACTGGAAAAGAAAATTTACAACTAAAAGTAGCACTACGGTCTAGTTAGTCAAAATAAAAGCCTTAAAATCATTGCTATCTAAGAATTACAAACAGATTATCCATCAGATAAACTCTTGCTGACCACGACTGATGCGAAAATAAGTGAATTGTACTCAAGTTTTAGTAGGACTGCTTTTGGTCAATACATGAAACAATTGATAGACTGGTAAATAAAACTCATAACAGGCAGGATTTCTTATTCAGACGTATACAGGGTTAGTATTAGTAGCGTTCAGCTTCATACAAACCCTGAATACGTCTGAGTAAGAAATCCTGCTTGTTTTGAGTTTTATTCACCAGTCTATCGATTGCTTCATCTATTGACCAAACCGTTTGCAATGACGCAGGTGCATTTACTCTGTGTTCTATGAAATTCTAACCTTTTGAATTAATTATCACCTCCATCTCTTTCTAAATTTACCACACTGAATTATACTTCTTGAATAACATCTTAGAACCCTAATCCCTCCGATTACTTTTAGTACTTTTACTACCTCTACTACTATGAGATTTGAATTGACAATTATATATCTGTGCTAACGTGGTATGGTAACTTGAACTGCTGTACTTACGTACAAATTTCTACGTTACTGTTGATGATGAACGTTACTAATCGCGCGGCCAATCTTACCGAGAGGATGTTTCGTAGCCCCAGCCACTTAAACGTTAGTTCTGGGCTGGTCAACTGCTGTAAATACATGTACAAATCTTTAGAAAAAAATGAATATAGACCTCGTTCAATCAGTAAGGCACATGGATGTAACAGCAAGCTGACAAGATCATCACTGGTCTTAGCTTTTAAGCTTGTCTGACAAAGTGAGTTGTAATTTTCAATACTACACCCGGCGAAATGTGACTGGTCTACAAACGTTGGTCAAGTATAGTTATATTGTATTCCATAGTCCCATGCAATAAGCTTGATTAAATAGTCCAACATACAGTCATATGCAGCGCAGAACTCCGTACGTAAGTATATTAATTCATGTTACCATAACACATACGGTAGCAGCGGAAAAGGTTAATCGAAAAACATGTTCAAGTCATCAAAGTTGAAGTTACAAGACAGTGCAAATGGTAGAAACATCATCATTGTGCGAAGATGACTTGGGTCTGTGCATTAGGTACGAAATGGCGCTATCTGATTAGAACAATCTTTTAATGAAGATCGAAAGCAGTCACAATCACTATGGTAAAACGATGGTTTAGTTTAAGTCGAATCAACAGAGAGATGAACTGAAAGATGGTCAAACAGTCACATAATATTTTTTAATAGTAATGACCACTGTTCACAAGCATAACTATCCACATAAGCCCTACTACAGCTTAGAATGGGTAGTTCTTGTTCCTCGAAAAGCCCTCATATGGCTATGGTTTAAAACTGGATTGTGGTGGCTTTCTCTAAAGGCTGAAATGGTCGGTGAACTTTATTTATGACGAGTCAACGGTCATCGTTAATATTGGCATTTGATATGAGCGGACGTTGAAGATATCTTGATCATGATCATGATCAGAGAAGTATCGAGCATTGATGTAAGTATGACTGGTTAAAACGCAACTTCTAACTACTTGTTCAGACGCTTGCATCGCGCCTTACCTGCTTCAGCTAAGGGAGCTGCTAGGTAACATTAGACATTAAATAAGATGTAGTTGTAACCAGAATGGCCAATTATTTCCGGGGATAGATTGAGTTGTTTCACTATTAACCGACACCATTAAGTGGGGGTTTGAGTCATATGAACTTAGTGACTTATGTCAGAGAGATCGAAATTGGTTATTTGAAAACCGACGTGAGGCTATGGCTTCCTCAATAACTATTAATTGAATGTCTGTCATTACTAATTCCCCTAAGGTATGGTGTTATTTGATGCTGCTTTACTCGACCAGTCTCAAAATCAAAACGTTACTTGGGGGGAACGTAAAACATATAAGCACAGAAATAAAGCCAGTTGTACATTGATTAAAACTCTACATCTAAACGGTGTAGCTAGAACTATCTTCCTTGCTTCCTGAAACTGCACCCATGAAGATTATTAAAGTGAGTTTACTGCCTAATTTCTATCTATTTTTGCTACGACTAAAGACGATCTGGAATGGTAGCAAGTTGGAATGAACTGCAGTAAATTCGTTTATCGATATGTTTGTGTTAGAAACATTGTCAAACCCTTGGAATTGTTGCTCTAGAAAATTTTAGTGTAATGCACTTGGTTGACAGCATATAAAAAAGTTAAATAATCGAAAGAACAAACCTTTCTGAATAATTTCAAAACACGGACCGGTGAGTTTGGAACAACTCTTATAACAAAAGGGTTAGTGTCCAATATCCAATAACATTTTACAATGGTTAGGATGAACCGATTGATATCTATGTGCTTGCTTCTTGTTGTTTCATTATGACCACAGGTTATAGGTTATGATTGGCGGGTAACAGTTCAGCCACTCGACTCCAATAGTTCTAGTCTTTCAGTAATTATTTATGAATTTGTATGTACTGCAATTTGAGTGCATTTGTCTCGGGATAGTAGCAGCTATCACAATTGCACACCGGATTTCTTTTAGTTGCAAAGAATTGCAAAAGGTGACTGATATTGTTAAGAAGAAGACGAATGTTTCAGAAACGATATGGATAATATAAGGTAATTAATTGGTAAGGTAGATAGAGTTATTAGATTGGAGTGTAAGGATAAAGGTGATTGTAGAGGTACATAAATACCAACATAGACATTTTTGTAAGTTTTTGACATTGTTGCTGACCTCATCCTTTTTTTCCGAGACACACCCTAGCTGAATGCCCTCGGAAATGCATCCACTTCAGATCACCATGAGGTACATCTTGTAACGCTTCGCCCTGACACAACTATCCAGCTTAGATTATTCTTCCCTCGGTATCCCAACCATTATTCAGATATACCTTTGATCTTCCTTACCAGTGGATCCTGATATAACTTGGCTTTGTGTTCTCTATCGGAAATGTGTTACAGACAGAAGCTTTGTTCAACCTCCAGTATTCGTAAAATCGTCTTTGGTGAGCACGACGTGATCAGATACACCCAACGAGATGATGCATATTTCTTACCAAAACGTTATATACATTTATGTATTTTTAATTGTCGTAATGGTAATTTTGTTTCATTCACCTGGCCTCACCATTTCTAGTTAAAGAAGCAATTCGATTTACCCTTCGTGTATCTGGAAGCCCTGATGCTGCTTCCCAGGGTCTCGCTGGCGTGGGTGTAGCATTGAGTCGTAGGGCTGATCTATCTCTCCTAGACTATATCCCAGTAGATAGTCGCTTTTGTGCTGTGCGACTGAACGGGTCAGTAAGCAATCAGAAAGATAGGGACAGTCAACGTCGTCTATTCGTCCTGTCTGCCTACGCTTCCACTGACTGCAGTTCAGACGATGTGAAAGATGAGTTTTACAGAAAGCTTTCCCACCTGCTCGAAAAGGTTAGGCAGTATGATGCAGTAATAAATGCTGGAGACTTTAATGCTCGAGTAGGTAGACTAAGTGAATAGGAAAGACAACTGGGTGGATCTTATAGTGTCGCGGCTCAGAGAACAGACAGTGGCAACCGTCTGTTGCGAGTTTGTCCAGATAACTGCCTTTTTCTGGAAAACATTAAATTTGGGCATAAGGAAAAGCATCGCTTGACATGGTGACCTCCAAGGTCTTCTCAACGATGAACCCAACTAGAACATACTGCTATCAGCCACCGATTGAGAGGTTCGATAGAGGACTGTCGCTTGTTCTGAAGTAAATGTCTAGATTTAAATCATGCTCTAGTGCCAGCGCGTATTTGTTTGCTCCTTACCGGACGTAGAAAGGGCACCGCGATGAAAACTTTTAGGGTCCTACCTAATGATAGCCGAACCAAGAATATATTTCAGGAACAACTAGAATGACAGTAGGGCGACAATCTAAGTGATTCCCATCCGGAGGTAGCTTGGAATGATATAAAAAAGCCGTGGAAACAGTAGTGGTATCTGCTAGTTAGGTAAACCATAAGTCCAAAAAGAAACCGTGGATCTTAGTAGCATCTACGGAACTGGTGGATGCTCCAAAACACATATCATATGGCTCTGAACATGATGAAGAGCGAAGTCAGCTTAAGCACAAGCTCATAAAAAACCAACACAACTACCGCGAATAGTGGTGGGTTGTGAAAGCAAGAGAAACGGAAAAGAGAGCGGCACTGATACAGAAAGCTCGATTGGCTTTTTCCAACTTGCCTCACTTATGGCGTAGGCGAGATATCCGTTTGCTGACTAAAGGGCGAGTGTAGTTCACTCCGTCCTACTTTATGGCTGTGAAACATGGCCAGTCAGAGTAGAAGATATTCGTAGGTTACTGGTTCTCGATCATAGGTGTCTTCGAAGCATTGCTCGTTTATCCTGGGACAATGCTGTTATTAGGAGAAGGGTGCTAGGTAAGGATGGCAGGTCAATAGATTAAGTATTGAATCTTCATCAGTTGAGGTGAACTACATTAGTATTATACAGGCTCTCTACTCGAACACCCCCGACTGAGTGACATCCTATGGCAGTCAGTCACAACGAAAAACTTCGCACATAGGTACATCAGTTCAAGTAACCATTACACATCAGCACAGAGACTCACTTGTCAACTCTAATTCCATGGTAGAGATAGTAGAAATATCAGTAGTAATCGGAGAGATTATGGCTCGAGGATATTGTTCAAGAAGTCGAATCCAGTGAAATAAACTTTTTTGGTGTAATTTCGGTGGTTTTTCGTCACCACGAAATCACCAGCAAATATATTCTTTACCCTAGATTTATCTCTACAGTGACGGTTAATCACGACTAACTTAACACCAAAATTGGTGAGCTGACGTTTTGTTCAAAGTAGTCAAATAAGGTGAGTCTATTATTCATCTACCCTCATTTTTATCAAGTTGCAGTACTATTATTAATGTCCTTTAATATATATTATAATTGCAACAACGTTTCGAAATGGTGGATAGCTATAATAATAGACTCCGATGTGCAGGTCATTCCATTTTCCCCTGTCTCCTCCCCGTCATTTCAGGCTGCTCGTTTATTTTATATGCAAGATTTTCGCACTAACGCTAGGTACTTGGTGGCCACAGAGGCCTAAGTTTCTGTGGTATCGTTTAGTAGCAACAAGTCTGAAACTACGATGCTTCGACCTACGGTACACGACAACTAACGATCAACCTGAATTATCGACGACAGTATCTATGGACGTTCAGCCCTGTTTATGTTCGTATAGCCGTACTCGGTATCGATTCCATACGGCTCTATGAATTGTTACGCGACTCTCGTAGACTGCAGTTAATCGATACTAAATCCAAGGGTTTTAACGCTCCAACAGATGTATACCAAATCAATGCTGTATTTTGTTTGGTTGATTACTTATTTCATGTTATACTTGATAAATTCCCCAAAGTAACTAAGCCGAGGAGATTCTATCGGTAATCGATTATGTGGTAAGCCACATCATCACCTGCAGACCCCCAGTCACAGCAAAACCTCGCTGGCTGGCACTGTACAAATTAGTTTTCGCTAAGCGTGAGTTTGACATGCTATATGTATTACTTCGTCTTTCTCACATTCCTTGAGCCTCCTCTATCCACTTGGTTCGCAAAAAGATGGATACCATCCGACGATTACAGAGCAGCAAATTCAGATCTTCAATGTTCTGCCTGTGAGCTTGTATATAACACGACATTGCGTCTGCCCGGGGAATTTTTCACACCCCGGAGCAGCGATTTTATGCATATCATGTAACGCCTAACGACTATCTGCATACATGCGAACACTGCCTCCGGTGTGAACTCGAATATAACATCAACATACCGCCCTCCCTTGAGAGCTATTTATTTCACAATAGTAGATTCGGTACGCAAACGTTTGCAACAGCCTCACGAAAGATCTTTTAACCTGATCTGTTGTCACGAAAAGAGCTTTGGGATTAATAGACGCAGTCAGCATTGATCGTCTCATACCAGCACACATCAGTGGCAGTTTCCTCCTCGATATATCGAGATTCAGTACTGGACTCGTCCAACTCAGTCTCTGGATCCATACTTCTCCTTCGGATCCCACGCTAGATATATGAGAGACCATATTCTCACGTCCCAGTCAACAGCACGCATCATCTGCATTATCCATGGATGAGACTCCAGTCTCACGTCCAGATCAGCTGACAACGCCGCCCTTGAACTCGGATGAGATTACAGGCTCACGAAGTACGCACGAGACTACCGTCTTGCGCTCCAGTCGCCGCTCACACCTACCTGTACGCTTTCGCGACTAATCTCTCAATAAACAAAGGATACGGTATAGGACTTTATCCTCATACTATATATATGCTACACCTTTCTCTTTTTCTTTAATTTTTTTATCCTGAGCTTACACCTCCGGCCATCGGCCTGCTGGTACCGTTGAATTCAATCGATCTTGGTGAAAGCTGGCCTGGTCACCCACGCTCTTGTCAATGAACTCAGTCGATAATTTAGTTCCGAATATGCCTGGCATACGTATGGTTTCGGACCCGGTCTTTGTGGTTGTTTCCGGTTCTTTCGCTTAATCTGGTTCTGTCCTATGTCTACAGCGTTTTTTGGTCTGAACCCATACAAACGCAATCTTCAGATTCTGGATACTAGCCACGCTGATGTGGTACGCCAACGCACGCAGCAAACCTGACACTTTACCTCTGGTATAGTCCCCCGTAAAAGACTTTCGATGACAATTCGAGCTCTATCAGTCGCTTCCTGTTCGTCAACCGTTCTGCCCTACAATCGCACATTGGCACATCATTCCCCCGAAAAGAAACCGCTACACATAGAACGTGTAGATTTTTTCTAGGGGGGTCTGCTGTAGCGGAATGCTTTTACGAAGAGAACGCAGGTGGCTAAATGAAAACACTCATGATTATAACCAATTCTACTAGTGTTTGTTTAACTACACTTTTTGTTTATAAAACTTTTTACGCGCAACTTTATGTTTAGGTTGTTGCCATACTTGGTATAAATGCTGTAGGATTTAATCTGTCCTACAGATATCAATATTTATATCTTTTTCACGAGATAGTGTAAACCAATTTGATTTCTTCGCGCTCGATTCTTGTTCTTTCGGTACGGTTCCAGGTGTCCGGTAATGTCCAATGGATGGAAGTGTAAGCTAGGGAGAGGAAACAAAGATAATAGGCAAGATATATTAAATCAGTGATCTGAGGAGAAGACAGAGATAAAAACTAGCAGGCCTCAAGACATGCACCAGGCACAGCCGTTTCAAGATGGAGATAATAAT